CCAAATGGCCTATCTTTTGGCAAGAATGGATTATTGAAGCTACCCACTATTGCTGTATTTGGGGTTACATGCCCTTTTATACTGAGTAGTATGTGTTAACCCACACCAGTATTCACTACATATATTTTTACACTTGTTAGATCTTCTTAGTGAATTACTCATTTTACCAATATGTAGTGACCTTTTTTGTCTCGTTTAATTTTTTTCTTGTTGCCAGCTTTGTCAGATGGGAGTACAGTGGTACTCAGTTCAGGCACTTAATTTGTTCTTCGATTTTGGAAAAGATAGCCACTTTTGTGTTTGTGTGGGAAAGATGGCTGTGCGCATATTTGTCACCCGATGCAAAGTTTGCAAACAAAAACAAAATTTTGCCAAATGCTTCTGTTTATGAAACAAATTTCTTGCAAAGAAAAGCATTCATGAACTGAGGTACCACTGTTAGCTACTCCTGCTTGCTTTCAGGTCCTGTTTGCATGGAATATTATTTTTCCATCCTTTCACTTTTATTCTCTATATTAGTTTCTGCTAGTAAGATACCTTTCTTGTTTTTTAGTTCAATCTTCCAGTCTTACTTGGAAAATTAAGGCCTTTTACAATCAAAGTTACCGTAAGAAAATGCATCCTAATTCCTGTCATACTATTGTTTTTCCTAATGTTTGATTCTTCCCTAATTCTCAAAACCCACTTGTTTTTTTGCTTATGCATGTAGGATTCCTTTAAGTATTATCTGCTGGCTTAGTAATCATGACTTTATGTAGTTCATCCTCTTTAAAAATTATATTATTATAACAAATGATGCTATTTGGTCTAGAGACAATATTCAGTTTGGTTGAATTTAAACTGACTGTTGCACATTCTTGTCTTTAATGCCTCAATGTCTAATTCTTAAACTGCAGTATAATGCCCAGTAGATTGTTTTGTAAAAATATAATTACAATACAAATAAGTACAACAACAAAAAATAAACATAAAATTTTATTTTAAAGAGAAAATAAAGCAAAATTTCAAAACAAGATAATAGGCTGGAGATTCAGCTCAGTGGCTTAAGTACCTGCCTGGCAAGTGCAGGGTTATGCATAACTGGTCCATTGGGTGGCTTGTACCACTCGTGGTACAAACAGATCTAATTACTGTTGGTCTTTTTATTATTAAAATTAATAAAAAGCTGCCTGATGAAATAGTGATTCATGTACCTCTAATAGTTTAAGCCACCTGCCAGCAAGGCATGAATTACTGTACTGCCCCATAATGATTGTGTTAAGCATTGTTTTCCTTGCTTCATTTGGTTATTTGTATTCTTTTTGAAGTTATTCATCACTTTATGAATCAATCTTTTGAATTCTTTAGCCTTTCAGCCACTTTGATATCTTTGTATTAGTTATTGATGAACTATGATACTTGGAGGAGTTATACAGTCTTTTTAAAAAAAAAATACCTCTTATACTTCTGTATTGAGACTTGTACATCCTTGGTGATGGATAGCTCTTCCACTTCTATTCAAAGGTCTAGGAAGATCTTTGACCTGGACACTAGGACGTGTCCAGACTTTTTTTTAATTTTAAAGGGAATAAAATAAAACAATAAAATGGAACCAAACAATGAGAACAATGTTAGGTTTCAAAAACAAGACAGAAGGAAATCCCCATAGCTGCTATATTGCATATTGTTGTCCAGATAGATGCTTAGACCACCAGCTTTGGGCCTGCGAAGTCAATCAAACAATACAATCATTAAGGTTTGTTTTTGTTTTTTTTTTTTTAACTTCAGTTGCCATCATCTTGGCTTTTTTTCCTCCAAATGAATATAGGGTGGTAGGGGATAGAGAGTGTTTCAGTGTTCTTCTTGTCTCCTAGCTTGTGCACTAGTTGGCTCAGAACGGCATAGGTTGGCTTCTTGGTTCTCCTCCTGGTCCACAAGTGCTGCTGGCTCACAGGAGGACACAAGTTGGCTTCTTGGTTCTCCTCCTGTACTGCATGGCTCTGTTTAGCCTTCGTTTGAAGACTTCATCCCTAGCACCTTGTCCTTGTGGACTCAAGTTCCCTTTCCTGTACTGTGAGCCCGAGTTAATGTTATGATTCACATTGTTATTTTCTCATTTATCAATATTACAAATGTGTTTGCTTTTGAGCTCTTATAATTTCTTAAAGTCATATAATGTTTGAAAAATAAATTACCCTATGTTTTCAAGGTCCTGCGCAGATTCCACTACCTTGTAGAATGTATGTAGATCAGGAATTGCATGTGTGCTTGCACGCACACATGTGCATGCTAGGAGTTCTTTTGGTGAGCATAAAATAATACTTCAGCTTGGCACACCTGTAATCCTAGCTAGCACTTGGAAGGTGATGCAGGAGAATTACCTGTCTCAAAAAAACAAACAAATAAGAACCTTTAAAATCAGGACATAATGGGCCATAGGTTTAGCTTAGTGGCATAAGCACCTGCCTGGCAAGTGCAAGGTCGTGAGTTTGATTCCTGGTATCACAAAAAAAAAAAAAAAAAGTTTTAAAAAACAAAATAAAAATAAATCAGGACATATAATATGTTGCATTACAAAGAGATTTGTTACTTTTCTTTTTTTCTTTCTTTCTTTTTTTTTGTAATTCAGGCTGGCTTTAAATTTGCTCTGCCTCTAGCTCAGGCTGGCCTCAAGCTCACAGCAGATCTCCTGCCTCAGCCTCCTGAGTGCTGGTATTTTGCACCTTTTGCACAAAACTTAAAGAAAGTATAATTACAGTGCATAACTTGACTCACAAGGAAAAAATCTTTAACGGCTAAAGGAAGAATGTATGTTTGAAACAAATCGCTATTTCAGAGCTTCAGCCAATCCTAGACCCCCAGTGGATCAGACAATGTCCAACCAAAATGAAGGCTCTATTGTAACTAATCAAGTTATTTCTTGTGTTGAGCTACAGAAGGATGCTGCCCTCACTACACAGCAGAGCTCTCTAAACACCTTTCCATTTTCAGTGCTGCCTGATTCATGAATTGTTCTTTGCTCAAACTATTAGATTTGTCTAGAGCTTCTCTTAACAGCATCATAGATAACAAAATATCTGGAACCACAGTCTTTTTCACCAAATTAGCAGCTATGTATCACCTGTTTTAAATAATTTATTTCACTGATTCTTGTTTTTAGTGGCTGTACTGTCCAAAACTTCAATCTTGCCTTTTCTACATTCTGAATTAGGAAACTTAATGTTATCTATGGTGACTTCACAGTCAACACTGTCATCCTTATCTTTGGACTCTGAGCTGTTTTAGCATTACTTTTCCGAACTATCCTTTTTCTTTGAATCTGCTTGAGTCATCTCAACTAAGGCTACATTCATTTGTTTAATATTTTCAAGGGTCCCAGCAATACTTTTTGTATTGAAATAGTCATTCTTAGCTTTTCATTTTCCTAAGCCACAAGTGGAAGAAAGTTCTGAAGTCGATCTAGTAATGGACTCTTTTTTCTGTATGAACTGTTTGAAGAGTAGAGGTTTCTCTGAAATTAGTCTTGGAGTTGATGAGTAGCTTGTTCTGTACACCTTCTCAGCTGCAGCCAGCAGTCACTAGCTCTTTGGACCCTGAGATCCCTGGCTACTCCTGGGTGGGCAACAGAGCACTTAGACTAGTGGAGGATTCACCATAGACCTCTGTGCCTCCTCAGCATGCCGGAAACGGGACAATATGCAGTTTTAAAGGCTTATTTAAAGCTAGGCATAGTGGCACATGTCTGTAATCCCACACTCAGGAGGCTGACACAGGAGAATCACCGCAAGTTTGAGGCTACATAGTGAGGTGAAGGCCAGTCTGAACTACAACGTGAGACCCTGTTGGAAAAAAAAAAAAAAATTAAGAAGTATAAAATGATAAAAAGTAATCCATTTCTGTTGATGACAGTGTTGTGAATACCGCTATGATTTGTTGCCTGAGATTTATAAAGGAAATACTGAATTTTTACTAATACTTAGTGAAAATAAGTCTTCCTTGTCTCCAAAACCTATTTCAGTATTTCAGTTAGCTATGACAAACCACCCTAGATCCTAGCCGCTTAACATGACCATTTTATTGCTCATAATTCTGTATCTTTGAGATTTGAACAACATTTAAAGGAGACATTGGTCTGCTGCCAGTGATGTTGGCTGGAGGGTCCAAAATGGCCTTACGGACTGGAGATGTAGTGCTAATCACTGATGGGATGGGAGGCTGGGCCTTCTCTAACACAGCCTTAGAGATAATCACTAGGAGTTGCTATAAAAATTACAGTCAGATATTTTAGATTTGTGAGAAGTTCTTCCCACAGCTCTGGTATGACCCCATACCTAACCTTTTAAAATGTATTTCAGAGATCTTTTCAACATGCTTGTACATAATCCCACCAGCCACGTTTTAATTTCTTTATGTCCTTGTCCATTTTTATGTACATGTGATTCTTCTGCCAATGTATCATGTAAAATTGTGATTTTTTAATCTCAACAATTACTTTATAATTTAAGTATTACAGATAGAATTTTTATTTTTATTTATTTGGTCTTTTTGATATAGGGTCTTACTATGCAGTTCCAACTGGCCTTCAACTCACTTTGTAGCCCAGACTGGCCTCAGACTCACAGCAGTCATCCTACTTCAGCCTCCTGAGTGTTGGGATTACAGGCATACACCACCATGCCCAACCAACCGATGGAATTTTTAAATGACTACATCTGTCTGTTTTACTTAATAGTCTCTAACCAGATGGGCATTTTTATGATTTTTGGCATTCCTCAACTATAACACAAGTACAGTCATCATTATATTAGACTGCTTTGAAACTCTCTGAATCAAATACTCAGCAATCTTTATATGAAAATTTTGTCCTGGTTCTTATTGTTTGTTATTTGTTGCTTGTTTGGTACTTGAAACAGTATCTTTCTATGTAGCCCAAACTAACCTCAAACTTGTGATCTTCCTGCTTTAACCTAGGGTTACAAATATGAACCACCATTCCCAACTTAAATACCTTTCTTTTCTAGGCACCCAACTGGAGGATCCTTTATTCGTCCCAACAAGGTAAATTTTGGAATGGACTTTCTTACTGCAATTAAGAACCGCTATATGGTAGAAGATGGACTGTCAGAGGATGATGAACAAGAGTACACTGTTACAATTGGAAATAAACCCGTGGAAACTGTTGGTTTTGACTCTATTATAAAACAGCAGAGGTAAGTAGAGCTAGTAATGGTAAAGCTGACTTTTGCAATATCTTCCAGGTTCAGAATTGAAATTTTCCTGATTGTATATGGATGCTGAGGTCTCTGCTTCTAAACCTCTTTCCTTTCTGTGAAAACAATGATGTGAAATATGAGAAACCCAAGGATTGAGGAGTCAGCACAGGGTTGGAAGAGTTTTCTAGATTGGCATCAAAATATCAATTGCTCACGGTTAATATTTTCACTACATTATTACATATTGACTATGAATACCAAGGCTGATATTTTGGCCCCTTTCTATTTCATGCTGACATTTACAGTTGGGTGATAAGTTGAGTTCTCACCTGTGCTGTAGGAGAAGGCAGGCACCACCCAGCAGAGAGTGATTCTGTGCTCTGGTTGCACATCTTTATCATTTGGGGAGCTTTGAGATCTACAGAATCCTGGGTCCACTCCTAGACTTACTGAATCAGAATCTTAGGGTGACACATGAATTTGTTTTTAAGAAGTGCCCCAGTGTGAGGGACACTAAATAATACCTTTTAATGGTGGTGCACCAGAATTTTCTCTGCACAAAACTGCACTGTGGCTGCATGCTACTCCTTACTCCAGAGAGATTGGAGCTGATATTTGCACACTGAGCTGCAACTACTGAGAACCCCCACAGCCGTAGGAGGCTTTAGTGCTTTGATAGTTGACCCAGAGAACGCATCTGCATAGAGACTTGTGGTGATTACTGTAGAGAGGAGATTTGCAGCTGCTTGGAGCGTACGCCTGCAATTGCTTTCCATTTCTAAATAAAAGAATTCATCTGTAGTTTTCTTCAAAGTAAATGTCCTTGCTGTTAAGAGTATTTTAGCATAATGGAGAAGCAAAAGTACAAAATGAACAGGTTTATTGAGTGGAGGACATGGAAAGGAGCACATGACCCATGGCAGCTAGGCTATCTCCTTCGACCAGATACAGAGAGGCAGAGGTTTATATTGACCTCTGATTGAAGTGGCGCATGGGGCGGACACTGATGACATGTGTGGAACTGATTGGAATTCTCTGTGCGTGCAAACAGGAAAGGGAGTTGCAATTAGGGCTGAAGAAGCAGGAAGTGGTAAATAAGCGTTCCGTTCCCACTCTGGCCTTCCGCCATGTTAGACAACTGCCATAACTGTACAGTAATTTATACTAGAGCAAGAACCTTTTATTCTCATCTTTATATTGTTAGGAAAAGGGCAAAGACTGTATCTTATTAAGTTTTGCTGGACAGGGGTATCATGATGAGGTCCAGGGAGTTAACAGGATGATAGTTGATGTCTCTGTAGAAGCTGGTACCAAGCGTTTCAGCCAGGACAAGGAATTAATTAATGATTGGTGAACACTTGCATCCTAGATTGGAGAAATAAAAAACACAAGGTGCTATGAGAAGATAGATCACTTTCATAATTAAAGGACCCAGGAAAGGTGCCCTTGATCCAAATGTATCATTCCATCAGGGCTCTGGTGAGATAGAATCTGAAAAATAAGTGTGGGGGTAGGAGGAATGAAGTTATGAAAGGTAGTTATTTCCCCATCTGAAAGGGTAAAAGTTTAAAGTGTAGGTAGGTAGGGCTTGTCTTTGGCCCAGGAGTTGAGCAGGAAAGAATAAGAAGCATAAGAAATATAAGGTCTTACAGCTGAATCATGTTTGGGAAATTACAGAGTAGGGGTGGAGAGGGTCATTGCTGTGTCTCTGTAAGGGAGATGAGAGCCTAGACTCACAGGGGTCTCACGTTTAACTAAACAACTGAGGGCAGAGAGAACTAAGATAGTTAAGTAGAACAGAATGAAGACAATTTTACATGTGATGTGGGAGTCTTTAGGAAAGACTGCCGAGAGTCCTATTGACTCCCAGGATCTATCACTCTGCCATCTGAGTCTCAAGGCACCATAATGTTAGAGTATTCTGGCACAGTAGAGAAGCAAAAGTAGAAAACAAACAGGTTTATTGAGTTCAGGATGTGGAAAGGAGCACAAAACCTATGCAGTAGGGCTGTCTCCTTCAACCAGATACAGAGAGGCAGAAGGTTATATGACCTCTGATTGAATCCGTGCATGGGGCGGATATTGATGACATTTGAGGAGCCTATTGGAATTCTCTGTGCATGCAAACAGGAAGGGGAGTTGCAATTAGGAACTGAAGAAGCAGGAAGTGGTAAGCGTTCCCATTTTGGCCTTCCACCATGTTAGACTATACAGTAATTTATACTAGAACAAGAATCTTTCATTTGCCATCTCTTGTCATTGTAATTAGGACTTAACATAAAGAATTATAGTGCATGTGAGGACAGTGTTAAATAAATTTGTTTCTCATTTTTAGCATACCTTGCCCTCATTTTTAAAAATGGCAGACTGGGGGGCTGGGGATTTAGCTCAGCGGCATAAGCGCCTGCCTTACGAGCAGGCAGTCGTGAGGTTGATCCCGGTACCGATAAAAACGAAAAAGACAAAAAAAAAAAATTTGCAGACTGGGCGAGGTAGTGTAGGCCTGTGATCCCAGGTGACGCAGCAGAATTACTGAGAGTTTGAGGCCAGCCTGGCTACATAGTGAGTGGGAGGCCAGCCTGAACTACATAGTAAGACCTTGCCTCAACACCAAAAATTTCAAAAAGCAAACTTCAAAAAAGCAATTCTAGTATATTTGTTATAAAACAACATACATTGAATTGTTGCAAATTTAGAAAATACAAATTGGTCAATAAGCAGTCACCACCTCTCCCTAGACATATTTTTTGTTTGGTTTGGTTTTTGGTTTTGGTTTCTTTTTTTTGTTGTTAGGAATTGAACTCATGACCTTCTGCTTACCAGGCAGGAACTTATACACTGAGCTAAATGCCCAGCCTGGAAGTGAAGTGTTGTTTTGTTTTTGTTTTTTTGTTTTTTGGTACCAGAGATTGAATTCATGAGAGCTTACCCAGAAAGCACTTGAGCCACTGAGCTAAATCTCTAATCCAAGAGATATTTTTTTTGTTTATCATACTGACTTATTTGGGTTCAAATATGCTTACATAAGATTACAGCCTTTTGCTTTAGTTTTTCCATTTAAAATAGAAATAAGTTTATTTTACCAAAAGAAGCGTATTTTACTTTTCCTTTCCTTTCCCTCCTTTTTTGTTCTGTTAATCTTTTTCAGAGCATACTATGGGCTCTGTGAATATCAACTATTATGAACAGATTTTTCTCCCTTAATTTAAAAATGACCACTTAATTCATGAATCTTCCTAATGAAAGATCCTAAGACTTGAGTATCATTGGATTTAATAATTGGCTGGGGCCTATCTTGATTGAAAAGGCAAAATGGTAGAGATTATGGAGTAATCTCTTATATTGGCTACATACAGATTAATAAATTAAGAAATTATTACCAGATATAGTGGCACATGCCTGTAATCTCAGCATTCAGGAGCCTGAAGCAGGAAGGTCCTTGCAAATTTAAAACCAGCCTGTGTTCAAGGCCAGTTGAACTGCATAGTAAAACCTTGTCTCAAAAAGACAAAAGAAAAAAAAAGAAAGAAAAAAAATTATGAGGCAGCTTGGTAGAATGGACGAACCAACAGAAGACATACAGGCCTGGTTCTGATGGCAGCTAGGCCTTTTCTCTCGCTCTGACAGAGTTAGGGTAAGTTAATTATCATTCTTTTTTTTCTTTTTTTTTTTTTTAACGTTTAAAAATTGTCATTTCTAGCCTGGCATGTGTGAGGTTGTAGTTTGATCCCTGGTACCGAAAAAAAAAAAATCATCTCTAAACCTTAGTTCACACTTTCACAAAGTAATACTTAAAATGTTAGTCTACTGAGGTTATGCAGTTAGTGATGGCTGTTGTTAGTTATTGAAGCCTCCACTTTAAACCACTGTCTTATCCCCTTAATAACATTCATCTGACCAGCTTCTGTGTCCCATTTTAAAAAAAAGACATAAGGGAATCAAGAATAAGTAAGAACCATCACGTATGATTTCTCTTCGAGATGGCTTTGTTTCTGGAATGATGCCTGTGTAGAGACTTGTTCCCCAAACTCTAAGCCAAGTTGTCACAGCACAGCATATTTTAAATTTTAGAAGAAACTAGTGTCATATCCTTAAAAAGTTGTGTCTGATTCCAGGTGGTGGGAAGTTGTGCAAGCCCACCAGTCACTAAGCTAAGAAGACAAAATTCATCATGGTAGGATCAGGCCCCAGCCCCATCACTGAAACAGTGAGGTATTTGTTTTGGCTTAAGGGCACCATAAAATGCTATGAAACTCTAAATACCCAGTGACCTAAGGGAACTAGAGAACCTTTCCCCCAGGACTCTGCCGCTGCCCTTTCCTCATTTCTGATAATTGTGATCACTCATATCTTGCATTTTTTCTTAATTTGAAGAGAATAAAACCAAATGAGAGAAAACAAAATTGGCTCAATCAAAACAAAAGGATGGACATAGTACGTGACTTAAAACCAAAATACAAGATGATCAACAATGGTTACCAATGGTCTCTTGTTATCTTGAATTGCCCATATCATCATGCATAATAAAAAGGAACAAGACACTACAGACCAAAATCAATAAAAATGAAACATTGGAGGCATTATAGGACTTCAAAAGAAGATAATAGTCAAACCAAAATGAGTACCACAGTGAATTTTACTGTCTTCAAAGTAGTTGCCTATGCCCTCAGACTTGATACTGTCAAACAAAACAGATTCAAATAAAATCAGTCAGAATAAGACAGTGAAAGCAGTATAGGGCTTCAAATTAAGTTAATAGGAAATCAAAAATGGTTATCATAGTATATCCTGCTATCTTTGTAGATAAGTGGATACAACTTGAGACCATGCTCAGGGGTAAAAAGGTTCAGAATCACTTAGGAAAATAGTGGGTTTTTCTCCCTAATCTAAAAACTAAAGGAGTTAGTGGGATACAAAATATATAGTGCATCCTGTGAAACATAAAATTTACCATCTGAACCATTTATAAGAATACAATTCAGTAGTATTAATGATATTCACATTATATAACCAATCCAGAATTTTTTTTATCATCCTAAACTGGAACTCTTGTCTCCATTAAACCCCCATTACCCAATTCTTGCTTCCATAGTCTCTGGTAGCTATTGCTATACTTTTTCTAAGAGTTAGCTTATTCTAGAAACCTCAAGTAAATGGAGTCATACACTATTGTCTTTTTTTATTTTTTCTGGAACAGAGGATTGATTCAGGTCTCAAACATGCTAGGCAGGCACTCTGCCACTAAGCTACATCACAACTCTTTATTGTGTGATGGGGGCCTGCTAAATTGCTCAGGTTGTCCTTGAACTTGTGATCCTCTTACCTGGGATTATAGATGTGTACTCAGCTCAGTATTTGTTTTTTGGTGTCTTATTTCACTTAACATAATGTCCTCAAGGTTCTGCTGTGCTATATTGTTTTTTGTTTTTAGAATCTCCTTTTTTAAAGCTGAAGAATATTCCACTGTATATACATACTATGTTTTGTGGATTTTTTTGTGCTTTTTTATTTATTTTTTCCAATTTTATCTGCCCATGGATACTTGAGCATTCATTTTATCTGCCCATGGATACTTGAGCATTTCATTGTGTACAATAGTATTTTAACATCACAAAGTCTGAGGCACAGAGATTTAGTTAACTTGTATAATGCCAAGGGATTTGAACCCAAATGCAATAGTCTGCATCCAGAGTCTGTGTCCTTAGACATTATAATATGTCCTTTTAATGAACAGGAAACATTCTCGACACTTAAATGGCTGCTGTTGTCCCACTCCAGAAAGAATAGCTGTTATCAAGAAATCAGCCAACAACATGCTGGTGGGGGTCTGGGGAAAAAGAAACACTTCTCCACTGTTGGTGGGAGTGTAGACTGGAGCACCATTGTGGAAATCAGTGTGGAGAGTCCTCAAAAAACTAGGACAAGAGGTCCTATTGGACCCAGTTATTCCTCTTCTTGGTATTGATATGGGGGAACAAAATTCCCAATCTACTATGTCCAGTATGAGTTTGTGTTCTCCAAAATCAAAGAGTGAATTTTAGAAACAACAACAACAGAGGTTAAGAGCAGAAATACTTATTGAGAATAAGAAAGCTTCTGAGAAAGACAGAAGGGGTCCTGAGTAAAGGGTTACCAAAGATTCTGTCTTTTCTTTTCTTTTTTTAATTTTATTTTGAAAGTATACAACAGAACAAGACAGAATAAAGACAACTAAGATCGTACAGTGAAATTGGTACAGGACTTCACAGCAGGTTACCAGGATAATAGTAATAGGTATCACAGTGTATTTTTGTTATCTTTATAATAGTTGTTCTTTCAATCACGTATATCAAAATGAGATGCAATATAGAACACTATAGAACTTATTAAAACAATATTGAATAGAGCAGTACCATTAATCAGAAAAGAGCAAAACAGTAATAAAAATATTTGCCTTCAAAGAGAAGGTAGAAGGAAGTCCCCCCTATTTGCTATGTCAGCCTCCCAGGAGACACTCAGATTTCTGGTTCCCATTTGCTAATGGGCGGGGGGTAAAAGGGGGAAAGAGGAATGGGATACTTGGCTCTAGCTTCAGTAGGTTCACTATTGCCTAGCAAGGAGGCAGGCTGGTTGCTTGGTTTCACTGCTTGCCAGAGAGGGGAGGTGCTTGCTTGGCTTCCCAGTGTCCTAAGTTCCAACATGGTGTGGATGTCAGGAGCTGCTGCCAGTTCTCCCCCTGGAAGGGCCGCAGTAGATTCTGTCTTTTTCTAGGGATTTTTATAGAGTAAAGCCATGAGATGAGGCAGGTCTAAGGTGGGAAAAACTGGGAAGGCAGACAGGCATGCGGAGGGACAGAACTATGATCAACCAATCAGATTAATTGTTCAGGTAGAATTGACCAAATTAGGGACAAATGGGGAAGCAAAGAAGCGAGTTGCATAGCAAGTGAGCATTCATATGGATCAGTGACTTCCTGTAGGGTGTTGGGATGGTGATTCCTGGCTTCTCAAGTTAATCCATACCTAACCCCTAACGTTTATACTTAGTGTGTGGTTTTGTTTTGCCTTCTGGGTTTGTTTGTTTGTTTGTTTGTTTTTTGTACAGGATGGAACTCATGACCTCACGCTTGAGAGGCAGGTGCCGCTAAGCTAAATCCCTAGCCCTTTTGCCTTCTGTTTTAAGATCTGGCCCACAGCAAGAGGTGTGTGTCTCCTCCAACATCGTAAGACTTTTAGTCCTGTGCTGGCTTCCTCAAGGGCCTAGCCCTGTCTGACTGCCTATCATATTTCTAACTAGCTCAGCTGCCTGTAACAGTATCTTCCCAAAGAAATTAAAAACATCATATCACAGCTATATATGAACACCCATGTGTATAGTGACATAATTTGTAATAGCTAAATCTTGGAAACAGCCCAGTGCCATCAACTGAAGAATGGATAAAGAAGATGATGGGGTTTTTTTATACAGTAGAGCACTAATCTGCCAAGAAGGATAAGCTTGAGACATTTCTAGCTAAAGGGATGCACCTTGAGACCATACTCAAGTGAAACAAATCAGACACGTGTAAATACCACATTGTTTCTGCGGTTTGAGAAACCGAAAGTGTAAATAAGGACCAAAATGTGTAATAGATACTGTGAAATAGGAAGAAGATATTCAAACAGGAAGGGGATCTAAGGAGAAAGGAGGTGGGAAGAAAGGAAGGGAAAAGAAAAAAAGGATGAGAAAAGGAAAAAATGGAAACAAACCTTTCGTAAAGGAGGAGGGGAAGAAAGGGTTGAAAGAAGGATCGGAGGATGGGAAAAAAGAATCAAGTTATATCAGGTACAGTTTCCCTATGATTAATGTAATCATCATGTATACCTAAAATATACCAATAACATGGTTATTTCTTTTTTAAAATGGCTGCTGTAATGAGATGCAGTGGCACATGTCTGTGTTCCTATCTACTGGGAAGGCTAAGGCAAGAGGAGCGTGAGTTCAAGTTAGCATGGGAAATTTAGAGCACTTTGTTTGTTTTAAGTAAAAAGGTTGCAGAGAGTATTAGTGAGACTGCATCTCTGAGCTGGATCCCCAAAGTCTGCCAGTTACTTCATTCAGCACTTGGGAGTGATCCAGATGTCAGCTGAAGTAACAATGGTCTATTTATAGAGCCAAAAACTATCAGGTGTGAAAATGTTCCCGAGCCACGTGTCAGTAGAGCTCAGTGTAACTGCTGAACAACATGAGGCTCTACATAGTAGAACAGCATTTATTTCATTTGTTTTTCTTGTCTTTTTTAGTGAGGAGTTACCATGCTTACTTTAGGTCCTCAAGTTTCATAACATACAAAACGCTGTAATTGTGTAGAGTCGTGGGAATATATACTGAAGGTATTATGAAAGATTTAGGGCTGGGATCGTAGCACAGCTGTGGGCTGAATGCTTGCCTAGCCTGTGTGAGGCCCTGGCTGTCATGCCCCATGCTGCAGGAAGGAAGGGAAAGTTAGGGCTAGATAAACATCTAGTTTCCCCTGGGGAGCGTGGGAGGAGGAGAGGACTGTTATGGAAAGGGACACAGGATTGCACATTTGTAATGTGTTCAAATTACTTATATTTGTAATGGTTCCTTATTTGGGTAGTGGATCCTAGTATTTGTATTTTAGGGGCTGGGGATTTAGCTCAGCGGCATAAGCGCCTGCCTTGCAAGCAGGCAGTCGTGGGTTCGATTCCTGGTACCAATAAAAAGGAAAAAAACAACAAAAAAAAGAAAGTATTTGTATTTTATTTTCACATTTGGTGTGTCTGAAATGCTTGCTCCTTTCAAGGAGCAGTACTTGTGTGAACTGTGAGCTCTCTTTTTTTTCTGCAGTCAGCTGAGCAAGTTGAAAGAAGTTTCTCTGAGGAACTGTGCAGTGAGTTGTGCTGGTAAAGAAGGAGGAATTGCCAAAGCCTGTCAGAGTATCCTTTTCATGACAGCTGGTTGCTGGGCCCGACTGGCTTGATACCTGTGCCAGACAGTCAGTGCTGGTCATGTGCCCACTGTCCATCTTCACTGATTTTCTAAGCACCACTTCACTGCCCAGACATGAGTGAGCTGCCTTCCCAGAACCCATGCTTGCAGGTGTGGCAGTGTCACTAACCCTGATTGCAGGACGTAAGATGAAAGTTCTAGTGGGGCTCCTGGCAAAGAAACACACTTGATAGGCGCTGGCCTCCTGCCAAGTCAGGGCAAAGCTGTGCAATGAGGCTTGTGATGGCAGAGGTGCAAACAGGGAGCCTGAGGCCTGGAGGCTATTGCGCCAGCCTGGTTCTGGCTTCGTGTTCCTTGCCATATGGTGCTTTTATGCTCACAACTAAAACAGCACCTAAGATAAAGCCTTCCTAGTGGCAAGTCAGATAGACTTTTCTAAACTTTAAAGGTCTTTTCTCACTTTTCTAATTCTGCCTGACTTTTTTTTTTTTTTTTTTTTTTTTTTTTTGTCTTTTGGAGACAGGTTCTCGCCCTGCAGTTCAGGTTGGTCTCAAATTTACAATGATCTTCTTGCCTCAGCCTGAGTGCTGGGATTACAGAAGGGCACCACCATCCCCTGCTGCCTGATTTCTACATAATTTATACAAAAAGTAGCAGTTTATGGACAGTTTTATAAGCCTACTATATAGACTCCCTGCCTCCGATTCTCTTCAGTCTACAGCCTAAATCTACAGCCCGTGACTTTTTGTTTTGGGGACAGGTTCCACTATGCAGTTCAGGCTGCCTCTAAACTCAGGCAATCTTCCTGTGTCAACCTCCTGCATACTGGGATTACAGATGCACACCACAACATGTGCAGCCTTTTTTTTTTCTCCAGACAATCTTATTGTATAGTTCACGCTGGCCTCAAATTCACTGTGTTGCACAGGCTGGCCTTAAACCACAATGATCCTGACTCAGCCTGAGTGCTGAGGCATGCATCATACCTGGTTTGAGCAACTTTTTAAACCCTGGGACAGATCCTATTACTCTGCTCCAAACCTTCAAGTACTTCCTACTTCAGGTAAAACAAAAGAAAGACTTGGAAATGTCCTGCAGGTCCCTTTGTAACACTGACCTAGCCCCCAGCAGCCTTTGTAACCTCCTTTCTGGCAGCCACGCTCCATCTGCACCATGTGCAAACCCCTTGCCGCATGGCTGCTGTCACTGAGCAGGCGCCTCACTGAGGAAACACAGTGGAGGCACTGCTCACTGTCTTTTCCTGCCTAGACATTGCTGTGCATGCTGCTGTCCTCTTGGCTCTTAGTAGTTCTTTGTGGGATAGAAGAGGACCTGAGTAATAGTCACACACATCGTATTAAAGCATAAGGTCCTCTTTATCTAGCCCAGTCCTGCTGCGTGCTGCTCTTGTCTCTCAGCGAGGCTTCGCTAAACTGGGCCCCTTGCTAAGAATGCAGTCACTGTTCCTAACCTCCAGTCACACTGATAAATCAGCTCTGCTGCTTCCCTGCCTACTCACCTCCAAATCTTTGGGCCAGAAACAGTTGGCCTCACACTAACTGCTTGCAGGCCATTGCTCTTGACACTTCTGAACTTGTGTCCAGGCTGGCTTGTTCCCTCCCCCGGATGGTCTGTATTTGGTGATTCCCATGGGTATGGTAAGGCTATAAAAGAGAGGGGCTATGCTTGCTGGAGGCTTGCAGTGGCTCTGTAGTGCCAATAGCATGGTCTCTTAAATCCTCCTTAGATGCTTCATGAATTGGTCACAATCACAGATTTTTCTCTCCTTTTTCTTAGATAACATGACAATTATGACATTTGGTTGACTGATTATAGGTTTTGCCTCAGACTTTGAGTATGTGACAAATTTTTTAGGTTTTGAGTGGCTAGATAATTTAAAAGATAAGTGTTACGTGCTTGTGAAACTATTTCAAGTAGAATAAAGTAAAAAGTTAAAGGTCCCACCGTCTACAATTAAGAAGAAATTATTTTTATATATTTTATGAATCTTTTGAAATTACTGTTTCTTAACATTTCCTTTTAGATATTACAGTAATAGATTTGGCAAAAAACCTGTTGTCATCTTGGGATGAAGTGATCTGTATCGCCCAGCAGCTCAAGCACCTAGAAGTTCTTGATCTGAGGTATGAACTCCTGGTTGCCTTGTCACAAACCGTGAAGCTCCTAGTCTCCTCGCCCCTCCCAGCATCTCAGTGGGAACGAGGTGGGTGAGGCCACCTCTGGGGAGAACCTCTGCTCTTGTACTAGGGCTTGTGAATCCAGGGCCTTCACACTGAGCCACATACCCAGTCCTTTTTTATTTTTTATTTTGAGACAAGGTCTTGCTAACATGCCCAGGTGGGACTCCAGTTTGGAACCCTCAGTCCTGGGATGACATGTGTGTGCCACCATGCCCATCTGATTAATTTATTCTTAATGGCCCATGAAGTGATTTACTAATAAGTGTTTTGTCTTTTTTTGATTGGTGGAGGATGAGGTAGATAGACATATTGAGCTGGAAGATCTTCAGGGTTCTCGTAAGCTTGACCAGAAAGAACGGAACATTGAGGGAGGTGATGTGCAGTTGGGGAGTAGGAGGAGAGAAGTGATATTAAAGGTGCTTGTTTTATTAGAAGTTTCTAGCATTTGATTGCTTTAGGAATGAGTAGTTTCAGTAAGATAGTTTCATTCAGTTTTGGTAAGGATTTTTCATATACCTTACTAATGTCTTAATTCTCCAGGCCTTCCTGAATATTTGGGTGATTTTAGCACCTAACTTTCCAAGGACTCAGCCAGCCTCTTCATTGTCCCATAGCTTCTCCAACCCCTGCTTTCTTTTTGGTGCTGGGAAAGGAACCCAGGCCTCCTCCCACACTAGTTAGGTGCTGCCAGAGCTACATCCCAACCTTCCCTTTTCATTTTCTTTTTTGCTGTTTGTTTGAAGAGAGAGGGTCTCATGATGTAGCCCCGGCTGGCCTGGAACTCACAATCCTGCTCCTCTAGTGCAGGGATTATAGGCAGCTTCCTCTCATTTTTGAACCAGTTTTTCGTACATGGTTGGGCTGTATCTGGCTCAGTCAGGCACAGTAGAGAAAGTAGTCAGGTCCTCCATAGAGAAATGGATATAATATGATGTTATCCCTTCTGTAAGCACTGGTGGGTTTTTTGTTGGTTTGTTTGTTTTTTGCCAGATTAGGGATTGAACCCAAGCCCTTTGCACTGAAGTACATCACCAGCCCTTTATTGTTACTATTGTTGTCATTGTTATTATTATTTTGATGTTGTCTCACTAAGTTACCCAGGCTAGCTCAAACTGCAATCCCCCTGTCTCAGTTTTCCAGAATGCTGGGATGATAGGCATTACCACCATGCTTAGCTGGGCAACAGCCTCTCATTATGTAGTGCAGGCTGACCTTGAACTCATCACCACTCCCAAGTGCTGGGGATTATAGATATTCACCAGCATGCCTGGCTAAAAGATAGAATACTTTCTGAGATGAGGCTTTTTGAAAGATTTTTAAAGGCCAACCACTTACCATCTTAAGGGCAAACTCCCATATTTAGGAAGTAGAATTCTAGCCCTGATATAGCATGTGGGTAAGACTTGGTGAAAGACTTTGCTGTGTTCAGCCCTGTAGCTAGTGAAACCAGACACCTGCAGCCCCACCTGGCTGCCTAAGCCTACACAGCACCTTATATATCTGCTGTCAAAGGCTGTTGTTGCAAATACTAAAGTATGTTGCGAATACTAAAAACTAGCTATCATTGACTCACTTTTTGTTGTTGTTTTGGTTTTTTGTCTTTTTAAGACAGGGTCACTATGCAGTTCAGGCTGGCGATGAGCTCACTTTGTAGCCCAGGCTGGTCTCAAAATTGCAGTGATCCTCCTGCCTCAGCTCCCTAAATGCTGGCATGCTCCATCACACCCAGCTTCACTTTGTTTTTGACAGAATTTCATTTAAGGTTGAAACAAACCAAACCCCTATATTGCTGTTTTCAGTGACTTCATTGGCTTTTCTGTACAGAAATATCTTCTCTTTCTATACAGTGAGAATAAACTGAAGTTTCCTTCTGCTTCATCATCTCTACCTGGAGCATTTTCTACACTGAAGGTTTTAGTCCTCAATCGAACAGGAATAACATGGGCAGAGGTAATCGTATTGATTGCTTTGTTTTACTACATGATAATAAGCAATTTAAAATGTTTTGCTTTAATAGGAAATTAAAGCACAAGTGTGGCTTCATTTTAATCATCTCCAAATAATAAGATTTTTAAATATGTCTTACGGGCTGGGGATTTAGCTCAGCAGCATAAGCGCCTGCCTGGCAAGTGCAAGATGGTGAGTTCAGTCCCCGGTACCAAAAAAAAATTTTAATTAAATTAAAAAAAAATGTGTCTTACAGAGAGGGAGTTAAAAAGTCATTGTAGTAAAGTAGGATTTAATGTCTAGGAGTCAGGTTTTTGGCTGGTCCCCCCATTTCATCCTCCTCTTCCAACAGCTGTGGTAAAGGGGTCTACATCCCCAGGCTACTGCAGGTGCTCTGAGGGCCCTGGCCCTGCTGCTCCTGTGAAGCTGGGCTCAGAAGTGGACCCTGGGTCTATGGTACCTGTCTCAAGAACAGTTCCTTTCTAGGAGCGTATTCATAAGTTGGATTTATTTTTAAGTCTGATAGTGGGAGTCTCAGGTAAAAGATGCACCATGATCTTCACACAGATTTTTAGCTTTTTCAGAACAAGCATTAGGCTGAGTGGGACTCCATACTGATGCTGATCCAGCATCCACACACTGAGACGTTCTCCATCTCCTCTATCACGTTAGATGCTACCATTTTGGGTATTATTGTTCATTTCATTGGCACAGACTTCACGTAAGTCCAAGATTGATCGATTGACTGATTGATTGATTTTTATTTTTTTTGAGACAGAGCCTCCCTGTGTAACCCAGGCTGGCCTTGAACTCACCACATAGTCTGAGCTGGCTTCAAACTCACAGCAATTTTTCTGCATTAGCCTCCTGAATACTGGGATTATAAGCATGTACCACTATGCCCAGCTATGTGTTCCATGACATTGTCATTGTTCTTTGGAATTGTGCCAGTAGTTTAACTGCAACAGAAAGCAGAAATACTGAAACACACACGATTTGGAGGCAGACTTACTTATGTCGATGGGCACAAATATGGATCATTCCCAGACTATGAGGCCCCAATATCTCTGAAAGCAAGTAGGAAGTACGGAGGCAGAATGGCTTGCCAACCGGGGATTGGGTCTTACAATATGCATCACAGTAACTAGCTGTTTGTAAGGTACAGAAGCAACCAAACTGCAAGAGGACTTGTTACTGGAGCAACTAAGAAACTGAAGTACACTGTATACTGGCTGGGGGTAGGGTGGGATGGGGTGGAGGCATTTTTTGTTACAGAAAGATTCGTGTTTTAAGAACAAGCAACATCTACCATCTTTTTGCCTCAGTCTGATCTTTCACTTATCCTTTCTTTTGTTTTCATGGTTATTGCTTTGTGCTTCCTAACAGTCCTGTACACCTGACCACTGCTTTTCCTCCAGCTTCCAGACATACTGGGCTCTGATTGGGCACTGTACTTCTGTACACTATCTTACTGTACAGTAAGTGTACAATAGCACAACTGTCACAGTGTTAGGCAAGTCAGGTGTGATGGCACATCCCTGTAATCCTAGCATTTGGAAAAATGAGACAGGAAGGTCGTAAGTTCAAGAACAGCCTGGATACATAGCAAGACCTTGTCTCAAAAAACAAAACCCACACAAGACAATGTCCACCAGCCACGTGAGCTACTTCTGTAATTTGCTAGCATCTACAGATGTTTGTAACGTGAAGTTGTTTCTTTCTGAAAGTTCGAAACTTGAATCATACTAAATCAGGGACTTACTGTTCTGGGCCCCTGCATCGGCTTGCTCTCTCCTCTCAAGGCTTTACTGCCTTCAGACATCCTCAACCCATTCATCTGATGTGGACCTCAACCTGGCCAAAGCTCTGGCAGCACCCCTTTGCCAGACTCTTCCTTGGTGGGGTCTTACTGTCTCTCTGTGTATGTGGACTTCCTCTTAGGATAGGAAAGACACTTAGAAATTCAAATGGAAAGATTGGCAATAAAATCTGGGATAAACAGTTTTGAAGTCATTGTTGAACCATTTTGCCTGGTCTGTCTGTCTGTCTGTCTGTCTGTCTATCTATCTATTTATCTATCTATCTATCTATCTATCTATGTATCTATACATATTCATTAGATAAAAGCAGTGGGGACTAGGAATAGCTCCTAAGAAACAGGAAGGGTCCCAAATGGGTTGCCACAAGCCCACTTCTCAGAGGAAGTTTTATAGAGCAAAATCATGAGGCAGGTACCCTGTGGGTCAAAATTATGATTAACCAATAAGATTACAAGTATAGTAATTAGGTAATATTGATCCAGTAGTAGTAAGGGCATATGGATGACATCATTAATCTTGGTCAGTAGCCTACAGTTTTGTTTTTAACCTTAGTAAGTCTGTTTTTTTGTTTTTGTTTTTTATTTTTGAGACAGTCTTGCTATGCAGTTCAGCTGGCCTTGACTCACTTTGTAACCCAGGCTGGTCTCAAACTCACAAGGCTCCTCCTGATTACAGGCATGGGCCACCATACCAACCTAGTTTTACAGGTTTTAGTCTTAGCAGGTGAAACAAGATACCCCAGCCTTAGTGAGAGAATGAGAAACCTCAAAGGAGTGATACCAATAATCTCAAACTTCCCTTTATCCCTTAGAGAAGTATGCAAACCTTCTAAATCTTCTAAAGATGCAAAGATGGCAGGGGCTGGGGATTTAGCTTAGTGGCATAAGCGCCTGCTTTGCAAGCAGGCAGTCGTGAGTTCGATCCTCAGTACCGATAAAAAGGAAAAAGACAAAAAAGAAAAAAAAAAGATGCAAAGATGGGCCTCCAGCCACAGTCTTAATGGATTCTCATCTTCTTCATTGGCTTCCTTGAGGGCCCACCCATGTCTGACTGCCTACAATATTCCTAATTTAGCTGCCTATAATATTCCCACCTCTGAAGAGGTATCACGAATTGCAGTTAGTGGAGACGGGGCATAGTTTCCACCTAGCTGCTTTGAGCTGAGAAGGGTTGATGTAGGGAGACCACAGTTAGGGGCCTCCTCTAGAAAGCTAATCCAGTGGGCGCCTTGGCTAGAAGTCATGTTGCAGTGTAGCAGTTACCAGCTCCCTTTACAAGGTTGATCTAGTGTGTCCTGGTAAAAGGAGTCTGGCACATAGGGCATTGGTTCCATCTACATGATCACTTGGGAGTTTGGCAGCTTTTAGGTAAGAATAAACAAATTTTCCAAGAAATTAAAGCATATATAATCAAAAGCATGAGCACTGGAATTGAAAGGCAGCTTGAGGAAAGAGCCACATCCAGAAACTGCTTTTAAGGGACTGAAATAGCCATTGTAACCAGTTGGCTCTTAGAGCCCTCTACTGATGGAGGTTATCTGTAAGTCTATTTCTTGTCATAAATTCCCTTGATTTTAAACTGTAAGAAGATGGAGAGTTTGGTGGTTTTGAAGGACAATTTTAGCTAAGGAATTTAAAGACTTACTGAACTTTTATAGATTCCACTGTAGTTTTTTTCCTTAATGTACTATAACAGTGGGCATCTACCAGTGTAGCTGGAAACTGCCAGAAGGGTCAGTGATTGAAGCCACTTTTTATATCTAGCTTTTATTACTACGCTGTTTTTTGTGTTTTGTTTTGTTTTTTTTTAACACATTTTCTGGTTAAAAATCTATTTTTCTGCTGGGTGTTTCAGACCAAGTTAAAGTGAGACATACATCAGTCAAAATTAATGTATGTCTATCAAGGTCGGTTAAGTCTTGTCAGGCATTACTTTCGGAACCATATAGAGACTCAGCTCATCTGTGTGTCAGCCGCCAGGATGGGTCAGGGTTTTGCATGCCGGCCAGTGTATTGTGTACACACAGATGCATCTAGAACTGAGGGAGGCTGGCCATTCCTTCCTTTGGCTAAGCAGACTGTGAGTTGTCGGGTCAGCATCTTTAGCTGCACTTTTTGACAGCCTGTCCCAAGCTGCCTTCCAGTGCAGCCCTTCCATGACTACCCCATAGGCCCCACAGCTGCAGCCAGTGTGAAATGTCCCTAGGGAACTTTATTTCTGCGCAGCGTGACAGGGAACAGGGTTAAGAAATACCAGTAGTAGCTGTGTCACCTGAGCCGTTTCCTTTCCAGGTCCTCCACTGTGCCCCTGGATGGCCGGTCCTTGAGGAGCTGTACCTCAGTGCAAACAACATTTGTGTTTTGGAAAGGTAACAAGGTTTACTTCAGTGCACTGGTTGCCCTTTAACCATTCTCAGTGAGTCATCTTGGTTACATCTAATGTTAACTTTTTAGAAGGACTAGATTTGAAAATATTCATTCATTCTCTTCATAAATTAAAATACCAACCAAAATGTCACTGGCTGGTTCAAATTGTAAACTCGTCAGTGACATCTTGAATTAAATACCTGAAGCTTACTAGTTTTTCAGATTTTTTTTGAGATAGGCTCTGGCTATATAGTTCAGGCTGGCCTCAAATTCATAGCAAATCTTCTGCCTCAGCCTCCCGAGTACTGGGATTACAGGTGTGTGTCACCACTCTCAGCTTTGAAGCTTATTAGTTTTGCATAAATACATTTGATTAGTAGTTTCTAAATGAAGTTCTTTACGCTATACCAAGCACTTTCTTCTGTTTTTTTGGCCTTGGATCAAATAATGGATTTTTTTTCTTTCTTTCTTTTTTTTTTTTTAGTGGTACTGGTGATTGAATTGGTAGGGATACTCTATCACTGATCTATGTCCCAGACTCCTTTTTATTTTTTTATTTTGAGACAGAGTCTTGATGCATTTTGAAGACTGGCTTTGAATTTGTGATCCTTCCTGCTTCAGACTCCTCCACAGCTAAATAATAGATTTTTAATCAGCATTACCTGGTCATGTCATTGTACTAAGCACTGTATGTAAAAGCATGTTCTCTTAAAAAATTGTGGCTTCACCTCCATTTTTATTAATAATATTAAAGTACTATGCAAAATACATACATGAGGGGAAATTTCAGAAATTCAGATTTAAATCAATAAGCATTTTATTTTCTTTTTGTGGTGTTCAAGACTGAACCCTGAGGCTTCACACATTAGGCACTAAGCTATATCCCCAGCCCTCAAATCAAGATTTTATTGTACAGAATAGTTTCATTTATTAAAAAAACAAGTGCAGGAAGTTTTTCAATTAAATTTGAGATATTTATAGATTAATATACAGTTATAAGAAATAATACAGCCTGGGGATTTAGCTCAGCGCCATAAGCGCCTCCCTGGTAAGCACAAGGTCGAAAGTTTGATCCCTTGAGGCAAACAAAGAAAGAGAAATAATACAGAGATCACCTTTCCCCCTTATCAAGTTTCCCCATCGGTAACAAGCTGCAGATCTCTGGTAGAGAATCACAAACAGGATACTGTAGCTGACTCAGCCAGCAGCATCTTCACTTCAAGGGTCTCTCAGGCTACCCTTGTACAGCTATGTCCACCTGTCCTCTCCCCAGTTTACCCTAATACCCAAGTGCAAGTGTTTTAAGGCTGTGTCTTTGAAAATAATTCATACTGAAAAATTTTATTTTCCATACAGACCAACTGATGTTCTACACACTGTCAAGTTATTAGACCTTTCCTCTAACCCATTAGTTGATGAAAACCAGCTGTTCCTGATTGCGTATCTGCCTAGGTAATATGCTTTTTTAAGGGATTGTTTCAATTTTTCATTTATCAGTCCATGTTTGCAGTACACAATGATTATATTCCTTGTGGAGCACTAGTGCATGCACATTAGTTGTTTTTTTTTTTTTTTTTACCCCCTTAGTAATTTCATAAAATGTGGACTATGAACTAAACTATTTGAGGAATGTATAATTTGGTCCTGGTGATACTATTAAGTATTAGTAATATTATCTTAGTAATATTAAGTGTTATCTTAGTATCTTAAAAAGTTTTAACATTTGCTAAGACTTGGGGACCTGAGACCATGTTTCTCGAGACCCGCATAGGACCTGACTCTCAGGTAGGCACCGCAGGAAGTGCTAAGACCGTAGAATCCCTCACCGTCAGCAGCGGGAGTGCCCAGAACTGGACCTGCATGAAAACTCCAGGGCAGAAGTAGAGAGCTCAAGGCATTTTATACTCTGTATAATCAATTTTAATATGCTTTAACTTCAGATTAGAACTACTAAACCTTTCTAACACTGGAATTTCTTCAATCCATTTTGCGGATGCTGGAATTGGTAGGTAACATTAATATGCTCGCCTCCCTCCACACATTGGCTGTTTCTTTCACTCCTGCTGTGTGACTTAAGAACTCTGTTCTTCCTAGGGTGCAAGACATCCATGTTCCCGTCCTTGCAGTACCTTTTAGTGAATGACAACCAGATATCACACGTAAGGGTGGCTTCACAGTGCACACAGCATACACTTGCTTATTTCCACTCTCAAGCAGAATTCAAAGGTTCCTTAAATTTACAAAACTTTTAAATAGAGCAATGCTTCCTGCAAGTGAAACTTCTCATAAAAGTAAAAAATATCATGGAATTAGTTTGATTCACATTTAGGCAGAGTTGGTCATTTTCAGTGGTGTGGTGGGGATTAACAGTCTGGTCAATCTTCATGTGGGCTGCGTGGTGCTAACGCCTTCCTGGCCTCAGATTAGAACTGGGGACTTTGCCTTTCTGTTAAATTCAAATAATCTTTAAAGGTAGCCTGAAACATGTTGCTTTTTATTTCTTTTGATCTGTTGGCCTTCAGTGGTCATTTATCAATGAGCTGGATAAACTACAGAGCCTGCATGCATTGTCCTGCCTAAGAAATCCTCTAACTGAAGGAAGCAAAGAGGCTCAGACCATTCGGCAGTTCATCATCGCCAAAATTGGTCAGCTGAAGACCTTGGACAAGTGTGTGGTAAGTACCGGTATCCTATGCCCAGGGTGACCTTTAACACCAGGCTCAAGTGACCTTTTTTCCCCTAGCCTCCCAAATAGCTGGGACTAGATCTTTCTTTAGAATATAAAATAATCAAAAGCCATAAAAGAAATATTTCGGGCAGAATAAATCAAACCTGTAATTTCAGCTACTTGGGACTCCATGGCAGGAAGATCCAAGTTCAAGACCACCCTGGGAAACTTAGAGATCCTAAAATAAATTTTTTTTAAAATTGCTGGAACTATACCACTGTGGTAGAGTTCTTGCCTAACACAAGTAAAGTCCTGGATTCCATTCCCAGCATTGCAAAAACAACAAAAAGGTTCTATTTTTTTTTTTTTTTTTTTTTTCCTGGTACTTGGGATCAAACTCACAACCTCGCAGTTGCTAGGCAGGTGCTTATGCCACTGAGCTAAATCCCCAGCCAAAAGGAAAGAAATTATATTTGAACATTATAAAAGGTATGAGATGTATCTCTTTCAAATGGTGCACCATGATCCAGGAGGACTCTTTCCTGACACCTCAGGATAAAGAATTAGGTCAGTGCCAGAAAGGCCTGTGCTCTGCTACCCTGGCTGATTCATTTTTCTTTGGGGAAGGTGAGGAGCACTGGGCACTTTCTTCTGTTTCTTTGAGGTAATGAAGCAGGAAGACAGAACCACAGAGCATATTTCTCCTCTCCTTGTCAGCAACTTCTCTCCATATAGGTGGGAAGGTCAGGCCTACCCACACTCTGCTGCTCGCTAGAGTAAGTCAGCTCCTCCAGGGTAACACCTCCCTGGCACACACCTGACAGGTGACCCTCGGCACCAAACATCATCCAGAAAATGGCCCGTGGGTAAATGCTCTCATGATGCAAAGGATAAAACTGGAATGATTCTTGAATAAACTCCTGAGTTCATCAAGGTTAGAAAAGCCAGGTGAAAATTACAATTATCTCATCCCGCTCACTTTGATTTTCCTCTGTGTGGGTGTGGAAAAGGAAGGAGGACAGGGTAAGCCACTCAGATACTTAAGTCTTTTTATTTCACATCAACAGATTCTTCCTGAGGAGAGGCGTGGAGCTGAGCTTGATTACCAGAAAGCTTTTGGAAATGAATGGAAAAAAGCTGGTGGACATCAAGATCCAGACAAAAACAGACCAAATGAAGACTTTGTTGCAGCCCATCCCAGATACCAACTCCTCTGCCACAGTAGGTCATGTGGGCTTGGCAGCTCCTGATGGGGTCCAGTTCCTTTTGGTAGCACAGGCTGTTCTCAGTGCTGATTTGGCTTTTTTCCCAGTCTTGAGTCTCTTTGTTTTCATGGGAATGGATAGTAGACTATTTCTTGGGGCCACGTCAGCAAGATGAGAACACAGAGGTAGATCAGTGGTGTCTCTCAGAAGAAACCTGGGGAGATTGTGGAGGTCCCTGCAAGGGAGGGATTTGCACTTGAGGAAGGGAAAGCAGTTATTAAATACGAGTGCTTCTCATCTTGGACTGTGTTCACTACAGACTTTCGATTTCCATGGTGGAGCCCCTCTCCTCTTTAGGAAAGATGGGAAGCATTCCAGGTTATCTCAAAGGCACAAAGTCCCCAAGAGTAATGTTCATTTGAGCTCCCTTGTCCCAAGGTCCCTTTAGTCTGAGTTTTGTACTTAGTATATATTTATATTTCTTCATCCTAATTCCTCAAGCTTTGAACTTAAGAATTGATGTGTCTTTGTCCCTGATATACTTTTGTTCTGACTTTATCATTATTCCACATTTTACTTTTATACGATTTTCCTTTTTATATATTTCCTAATGCAAGAAATTCACCGCATAAATGCTTCAGGCTGGAACATTATCTTTGAGGAAGAAAAGCTGCCTGTGGGAATTGCCTTCAAATTACTCTATTAGCTGGCCCAATTTCCTGGCCACTCTGGGTGAATTCTAAATCACTTGGGGGTGGGGAAGAGAAGGCTCTAAGGCAGCTTACAGGTATGGCTCAGCATTTCCCGGATAAGAATGCTGGACAAAAGCAGATTGGGGGGAGGAGGGATACAGGAAAATATCACTTAGAACAGAGCAGGAGAAAAGTACAGGAGTTCCCCCCCCCCCATCTGCAACTTACCTATAGCCAACCTCAGGTCCAAAAATATTACAGGGAAATTCCACAAATAAATTGCTTTAAATTGTACACTGTTCTAAATAACACGACAAAAATTCCTCTCATCCTGCCCAGGGCACAGACTGCCCTGTTGGGCCTCACTTGACTTTATTTAGTGTGTCCACACTGTGTGTGCCATTGGTCTCTTAGTCAGCAGCCATCTTCTCATCAGTGGCCAGTCCTGTGCCCACATAACCCATGTAGTTGAAAATATCCCCACAGTGCAAGAGCAGTGATGCTGGCAATCTGGTATGCCAGAGAGAGTGCTTCCTTTAAGAGAAAGGGTAAAAGTGTTGTGGCAAAATTTCCAAGCCAAACCAAACTGAAAGGAAGACTCTTTACACCAAGGAGATATGAAGGCAGCATTTAATCTTTACGCCAGCAGACTGTTGCAGGATAATTCCACAAAGGCAACAGCACTGAATTTAGGAAGTTTAGTCTATATGGAATTTAGAAGTAGGAGATAGAAAGCAAGTGACCAAACATTACATAATTGGTTACATGCATTGAGTAATATATTGACAGGCAGACTAGTCTAGAACTGATTTGTTGAAACAAAGCTGTTGTTTCTCATAGTTAGAAATACTCCAGGGAATAAAGGGAGGGGCCCTTACAGAGTATGAGTGGTTAATTACCATAATATAGAAATGTTCTGGGGAGGGGGCCCTTACAGAGTGTTGATTACCCAAGGTGCCTTAAGGTATACATGATTATTCTGACTTAGAGCTTATCAGAGGTATACAGGTGGGCTTTAGACATTGTCAAACTTCAGAAACTTGGTCAGAGACCTCTAATTGCTCTCCATGTAAAGTTTGCTATTTTATAAATGTGTTCTTACATTATAATTGTCTCAACAAAAGCATATTTTGAAAGAAAGCACATTCATGTTAACTTGTATTACAGAGTATTGTTACACTCATCCCATCTTCTTACTGTGCCTAATTTACAAATTCAGCTTTATCATAAGTGATGGGGACTGGTGCCAGCCCCATTTGAGGTATCCACTAGGGGTCTTGGCATATATCCCACACAGATGAGCGGGGCTGCTGTATAGCGTTTCCAGGCTAAGCATCTGGATTTAGCAGTAGCACTGAGCACCCAGTCTGGAACTGCACCACCTGGTGAAGACATGAAGATGTCCTAGGACTAGTGTCCTGAATAGTAGCAGAGAGAGAAGGGCTATTTTTGTTTTGCTTTGTTTTTGAGACAGGGTCTCTGTAGTTCAAACTGGCCTTGAAGTCACCAGCTTAGGCTGGCCTCAAACTCACAGTGATCCCTCTAGCCTTAGCCTCCCATGTGCTGGGATTACAAGTGTGCACCTGGCTGGGAACTACTTCTAAAGCTGAAACTAAGTAAATGTTTGAGGTATCTGAAGGCATGTTGATCAAACTAATTTGAATCAGGATACTGCTAGTCCCTAAGGAACATAATGTAACCCACTGACTATGGAGGACTGACCTGTGGGAGGAGAGGTTCCTGCCCGTCTCCTAAGGGCCACAAAACTAGGTAAAAAGAAATAGACACCCTGGTCAGCACACCAGCTCTCAACAGGTTTATCCTGGACAGGGACACACCTCTGTTGACACTGGCCTCTATACATTTTTTGTTACAGGGACCTTTATCATTCATCCTTTTATTTTTTAAACAGAATACGGAGCACCTGAAGATGGAGAATTCAAAATACAACAACCATGTACGCTCAAAAATCAGCTGCTAAGTAAGAGTTCCAAATTCATATACAGTTTATGTGTATTCTCATCCTTAGGTACTCAAACAGATCATGGTGCTTCACGGGGACTGTGTTCTCTTAAGGAAGTACACTTAAATGCCTTGCATTTTAAAGAAATGGACTAAGCCGGGCGTGGTAGCTCACACCTGTAATCCCAGCACTCGGGAGGCTGAGGTAGGAGGATCATTGCGAGTTCAAGACCAACCTGGGCTACAAAGTGAGCTCAAGGCCAGCCTGAACTGCAAAGCGAGACCCTGTCTCAAAAAAGAAAAAAAAAGAAAGAAATGGACGAATTCTCAAACATTTAAATTATGTTGAAGATTTTGCAATTACCATGGTTTAAACTCATTAACAGTATTACAAATGTGCAAAGTATTTGAGTAGTGAATTGATTTGGAGATTTGTGACTTTACTTTCACTTGAAAACATAGCTAAATTGTCAGGGAGAGAAGTACTGAGGGGAAAAGAAAAAGAGAAAGCATTATCGCTGTTTTTGTTGTGATGAGTAATTTGTGTATTAATAAAGTTTTAATATCATTAAGATTGGCTTATTAGGGCTGAGTCAGACTGTACTGAACAGGTATGTCATTTAGCAATCAATTCTTATTAATTCACATGTTTTATTTATGATTGAGCTATACCCCCAGCACTACATGCATGCTTTTAAGTTCTTACTACAGTAGATTTCAATTAGTTCTTTTCCTTTTTTTCTTTAAAGCATTAAGGATAAAATGTCCAAATCAACTTGAACAGAAAGTCCTAGAGAAACAACTGCCAGGTAAGAATGAAGCTATTGTGCCTGCCTTATATGTGTCAATCATTAGCCCAGGTATTAGGCTAATGGAATTAAAACACTTGGTTCATAGCTAAGTGTGGACTTCAGAACTTAGATTTTCATTAGTCCTTTATATTCTAAAATATACTCAGCTAAGCCACTAACGTCTCCTGTCCTCAACAAGTTCAGGTTTCCTGTAAATTTATCAACTTACATGGAAGCGTTTCATTAACATTGGGGAACCCCCCCTCGTTTTGGGGTTTTTTCCCCTCTGAGACAGTGTCTCACTGTGTTCCATGTTGACCTCAAACTTGCAATCCTCGTGGCTCAGCTTCCCAGATGCTGGGATGACAGGCTTGTCTCACCAGGCCCCGAGTGATCTTATTTTAAACTAAGGATCTCATGGCTTGCATGACTCCCTCTCAGCCCCACAACCCCTCAGATGATTGCTCTGGAGCTTCTGTGTTCTCAGTTTGGGGTCTCTGACTTCCCCCTTCATGGAAAGGGAGCCACATCTTAGTGCTCAGCTGCTGGGAAATCGGGGTTCCCTCCTACCTGCACCTCCCATTCTGTTCACCTGTTGGGACCCAACAAAGACATTCTCAGATGTTCTTTTAGCGGATGCACTGAAGTAAAAGTTTCTGTGAAAAAAAACTTTAAAATCTTTTTTAAAAGTGTTACCAGAACTGAATTAGTTTTAGTCTAAAAATAACTATGTTTGTGACAACAAATTAGATCAACATAACTTTAAACTTTCACTCAAAAGAAAAATTAGTCTGTTTTATAGTATACTGTGATATTATGAATTCTCAAGATTAACTTAATTCAGAGCTAAATGTTTAAATATAACCAAGTTAAATTTGAAGCAGTAAGAGTTTTAAAGAACTAATGAAATATGTATCTGTTTAAATGATTCCAGTAAATTACATTTCCCTGTTTACCTGTCAGAGCAATAAATTTACATTGATTTTTAAATTGGTGACCAACAGATAAAATAAGCTTAGAGTGGTATTGCTTCTAAGAGTGGGTTGTGCTCCCAGAAGTACCTTTCTGACTGAAAACTGTTCATTTAGTATTAATCTACTAGTGTCTCTCCATTTTTATTTACTAGCAATCCAATTTCTATTCCTGTGATATGTAATTTTGCTAACATTATATAATGAATTAAAATCAATCGTGCTTCCCCTTCATTATTGTTTCCAAACTTGAACACTGTCAGTAGAGCAGGTTTGAGGACAGACTCGTGAAAGAGACCCAGAACTTTTCAGTGTTACTTGCTTTGGGGGTCTTTGCACTTTGCTCCCCAGATATCAAGTCAGTGTATGGGAACGTTATCACTAAGGCAGACCTGGGTGAAGCTTTCCTTTGCAGACTTTCTGGGAAGGCAGTGAGCTTAGTCAGGACTGTGTCCAGGCACGGTACAAGGGTAGTCCCAAGCATTTACAGAGTCAATTTCTATTTAGGGGACACCTGCTCTATTAATGTTGGGGTAGACCCAGCAGAGATTAGAAATTATATGTGATAATTACAGCTTTAAACTGGTCAGAATCTGACTCTGTATCCTATAAATTCAGCAGATTATATGTGGCATAAAAATTTAGAACCCTTATAAATAAGCAGATAAATATCTTTTAAAAAAAGTAAAGGGGCTGGGGATTTAGCTCAGCGGCATAAGCACTTGCCTTGCAAGCGGGTGGTCGTGAGTTCGATCCTTGGTATCAATAAAAAGTTAAAAAAAGCAACACCATTTTTTGCCCTCCAGATTACTGTTTGGGATTTTAAAAAATCAGTATACTCTTTTTATAAAGTTATATATGCCCTGCCTGGGTCTTCTATCTTGTAGCACTTAGTGCAATCATGATTGGGGGAAGGGTGAATAATGGACAACTCCCAGGGCACCTGCATGTGTGGTCATTCAGGAGAGGGAAGTAGGTTTGGCACTGGTTCCTGTGAATTTCAGTTCATGAAATTAAAACTTCAGATCCTTAGTCATGACAGCCGCACTTCGTGTGTGCGATAGCCCCACATGTGGCTGACACACCGACAGTGGTTGTCTAGGAGACCTGGCATGAAAATGTTTATCACCATATAATAAACTTCAGTATATACTACAAATTGTAAGCTAATTTATAACGTTGTTCATAGGAAGCTAAAAGATAAATAACTATTTTAAGACAATCGTCACGATATTAAGAGTTTATGTTATATAGGCAGCATTCTTACGATTTTTTTGGTACCGGGGATGGAACTTATAACCTTGCGCTTGCCAGGCAGGCACTTACACCGCTGAGCTAAATCCCCAGCCCTTTACTACACTGTTTTATAATTCTCTCTGGTATGGGTTAGGAAGCCAGTGGTTTCCCACTTGTGTGCAGGAACTAACCCTCACTAACCATCCAAACAGTGAAAGTGAGTCCACCTACATATTCTGAAAGGTATTATCATATTCAGACATAAAAGAGCAAATTGTAACTAAGATTTTAAATATAGTATCTGTATCCAATACAAAAACAAGAAAACTCCAGTTACTCTAAAATAAAAATAACATTTATTATCACAAGTTGCATAAAAACACACAGCTTTTACAAAATGATTTTTGATAGAAAAATATTTGACTATATCATGGCATTTGTGGGAAACGCCACACTGTTGCTGTACCTCCAGCTAAAGCTTCAAAAAAACTAATTTTCATAGTCAAAATATCTATTATTTACCACAACCTGTCTTTGGAAAGAAGTTCATAGTGTGTTCTGAACAAACCAAAGCATTTGCTCATTTAACGTACATTCCCATGCCTGGTGGTCACTTTTGGGTAACACACTGTAACAGTCAGTCACAGGACAGTGGCTGGGGTGACCCTGACAACCACTTAGTCTGCAGTTCCCTTGCATGGAGGGGAAAGCTAAGGCCAGGGGGCTGGGAGCATCCTCATCTGAGCCTCCAAGGTTCTTCCCATAATTCATGAAGTTGTCACAAAGGCATATAAAGAAAACTTAATGACTTCACTGCCACTTGTCCCTCTGTGCTGACAGTATTTCTGGTTTATTCAGATTAAGGATGAAATATTAAACACTACTGAAATGGTATGAAAACTCACTGTTCAAGGGCACTTGGGTCACACACTGGTTCCATTTCCCAGTTGCCCAAATGACTCAAGGAAGTGGTAGAAAAAGTCAAGCCCCCTACTTGTTTTCTTGGGTAAACTGGTAAGAAAGGACAGAGCATTGATCTCATCGTGTGAGCCAGTTTTACAGGTAGCTGTCATGTGTGAGCTGATGGGTTTTGCTTTTCTTTGACAGACTCCATGACAGTTCAAAAGGTGAAGGGAATGATGTCGCGAGTCCTCAAAGTTCCTGTGTCAGACATTGTACTGTCCTATGAAAGTCCCAAAGTAAGTGGCCCCCAAAACACAGTCAAGCTTAGTCTCTCACAGTAAGACATGCTAGTGAACTCTTATCTGTGTAGTGCTGCCCGATTCCAACTGGAGTGACCCACCCTGGCTGTGGGGGCCAGCATGTGTGACATGCTTTGTCAGACCTATCTTTATCACCTGCCTTTACCTCTGTTCTAATTTTAGATGCCTGGCACAGAAATTGAACTAGAAAATGATCTACAGCCATTACAGTTTTATTCTGTGGAGAATGGAGATTGTCTATTAGTGAGATGGTAACAACCAACTAATAAAATTTAGAGACTAGATTACTTATTATGACTGGGGTTTACCAGAAAATGATTTATTGGAACAGTTCTGTCAAAAAATGAGGTCTTAAAATTTGCCCTAATTACAATAAAAGATGCAATTTGTCGGGAAGAGACCATTTCTAGACTTGTATATAACAATAATAAAGGCTTTATTAATGATTTTCTGATCTTTGTATTTATTTTTACACCTCATCAATGCATCTCACCATGTGAAGATTTAAATATTAAATAGAAACTAGCTAATCTAATAAAATCTGAATATAACTAATGTCATAAGACTGTTTCAAATGGAATTCTCTATTGACACTATTTTAAAAGGTTACTATAAAATGATTTGGTTTTTGTGAAATGTCCCTTCAACTCAGGAAGACACATCCTTTACTATGTGTAACATATGTGCTATTTTTTCAGTTGCACTATTTTTTAAGAATAAAGAATCACATGCTTTTTCCCTACAGTTATACCTAAACTGAGCACATCTTTCATAAAAGATGATCTGCTCTGATTCATATTTACTTATATTAAGTAAACATTAGGCAATGATTGATAGAAGGAAAGCAAAACTAATTCTTTCCAAGTGTCAGTGATTTAGAAATGGCCTTCCCTATGGCACAAAACCCCTGAGAAGTATTTATTCACATACACAAAGACTGAACTGTGACCTTCCAGATGTTAAAACAGCACAAGAAAACTTGGATATTAGCCTAATATAAAAATGAGTACCTTTAAAACCATGGCCCAGAACTAAGGATTATATTATATCCTTCTCAAAGTCAAGCTGCCCACTTCATTCAGAGATTCACAAAACCTAACATTATTTCCAGGAACCCCAACCTTTGGTATAAGTGACCGCTGCTCATACAAGTGGGCACACAGTGTTTTTCTGAGTTCTCTGTGGCCTGTAGATGTCCCATCTTAGCTATGCAGAGCTACTTTAGAATCCAACTTCTCAAACTCGAGCTTTAAGTCAGTACTCAAAATTTCCTAACCAGGCCAAGTTTTAACCAAAAATGATTATGATAAATTAGCAAAAATGCACCAGGATTTAGAAATTATTTCTCCTTTTATAAAACAATTTGGTATTTTAAAAGTCATCTTCCAATATATAAATAAAAATTTCTCTTATGCTACAGTGTCAATTTTTTTTTTTTTTTTTTTTTTGGTACTGGGGTTCGAACTCATGACCTTGCGCTTGCCAGGCAGACATTTATACTGCTGAGCTAAATCCCCAGCCTGTCAGTTGATTTTTAAGGAGGAAATCTGTGCAAACATTAAGAAATACCACACTGGCTACAGGAGAAAGTGCCAGCTGAGAACTCTCCTGAAAGATCATGCATTCCACTGCCAACCTGTGGGTTTGCCTCAGACGTACACGGAGTTGTTACTGCCTGCCTCGGTCTTTACATCCTGTTGGCGGAGTTGTCATGATCTTGCCTCACACTGACAGGGGTCACCGCACAGCTCTTTCAGCTCCCACAGCTCCGTCAGCTCCTGCGGTGAGTACTGTGGGGAGGACAGCATTCCTGTCTCACATGTCTTCTCACACAGCCACAGGCTGTCCTGTGGGAGACAAAATGAGCTCAACAGAGAGCCAGGAGCTGCTTAGACAGACAGAAAACACAGATGTAGGCAGGTACTCTGCATGTGACCCACTAGTGAGGGTTTTGGGGAGCCTTGAAATCGCCTGCAGACATTCAAGTTTCAAAAGGCCCTCATGGTGGCTGGTGCATACCTGGTATCGCAGCACAATAGGAGGCTGAGGCAAGAAGACAGCAGTTTGAGCCTCGCCTGGGGAATTTAGCAAGACCCTATATGAAAAGGGCTGGGGAAGTAGTTCAGTGCAAAAGTCCTGGACGCAATCCCAGTAACACACACACGCACACGCACACAAAGCTATGCGTTAGGAGATGGAGAGTCTGGAAGAGAGGCAGAGGGGGACCCCTGAAGGGCCACGCTCTCCAGGGATACGTAGGAGACTAAAGGTTTGTGTTCATAAGGCCCTTGTCTGAATCTTGCCCACAGTGGACAGAAAGCAATCCCCCTGAGCACCTGGAACCACACTGCATGTTGGGTGGCCTGATGCCCCAAGCAGAAGTGTGAACTGCTCATAGATGGCACAGGTTGAAGCAGAAAAAAATGCCAAGCCTCCCTGGAGGGCTGCGTTTTAAAGACGGGCCTCAGTTTCCAAAGGTAATTGGTTCTAATACTACAGTTTCAGACCTGCAAAGACCACGGGTACTGGAATAAGCAGATAAAAAACCAAGTCTCATCTGCAACATTAAGTAAATCAGAGTGTGGCAGGAAGTGTGACAAGGAACAGGACTATCAAATTGGTCCAGACAGAGGTGAGTGAACATTCTTGCTTACTCAAGCAGAGGGTGACCTGCTTTGGTGCTGCAGCTCTGTTCCAAAATAGTGCACATTTTTTCTGCCTCTTGCACCTTCTACAACCAAAGTGGAAGTTGCAAAAATCCAGAATGCAACACAAATATCTAAGGCAAAAGACTGCTTTTTCCCCCCAGGGCTCCTACTATTTCAGTTCATGCAGGCACATTTCTCATTCTGGCTCAGCAGTGTTTTAAATGCTGTCTCAAAGTAAAATCCTGAATGAATTGTGGAATCAGGCAGGACAGTCACTGAGTCTTCACGCTGCCAGGAACTCAGGTCAGTGGAGCCTAGCCTTTAAAGCTGTAAAAAACTTCTGATCAACTTTACAAAAATCCAGTTCTTTATGGGCAAGGGAACTTTTATGCTAACATTTCCTGTTGGTTTAAGCTCATAAAAATATATGAGAAATAACAAGGTGGACTGTAGTAAATAAAATCAAAAGCACTGCTATGATCATAGCAGACCTTCATTTCTTCTGCCCATAACCCAACCACCTTCCTTCCCAACTCCCAAGAGCCCCAAGGCCAGCTCCCTCCGGCTGGATTACCTGGTGTCTCCTGGGTCCTATGGCTGCCATCCAAATGCCCATGCTTACATCTTCACCCTGCACATGACCCGAAGTTTAAATACAAAACTTTAAAGTTATTGGTAAAAACATTGCTACACCCACTCCCAATCAACAATCTTTCCACTTTGTTTCACTGTTCTAAAAGCAAAGGGCAAATGTGGATTAACCCAGGTAACAGCAGTAAGAGCTAGTGACCACTGACGGAAGGATCCCTTAAGCAAGGTAAGAGAAGATAATGCAGCAGGCAGGCATCCTCCGTTTTCACGTGCCATAAACTTCCAGCACTCAACTAACTACATACAGTTGCTTACTGACACTATAATCAGAATCAGCAGAAAATGCATCACTTTTCCTTTTCATGAATAGAAAGCTTTATACTTCTCCATAGGCTAGTTATACATGTAGCCTGAGAACATAATCTCAACAAAGACTCAGGAATAGAATTTATAGCTTTGAGGGATGGCAAGAGTAATATTCACAATGTTTGAGGGGTGATTCCTATATAGGAACAACTGCATGCTCTGGCCCACGGCAGGCTGCCTCCACTTCAGGGGGCAGGCTGATGAGTTGCCTAGGTAAGAAATTCCTCAATACCTGATAAGTCTTTAATCTCCCCGAGTTGCTTGCCAGCCAGCTGACAATGTCACTGGAAATCACATAGCCTGACCCGCATGCAAAGGCAGGATAGGCTGGACTGGGGTACTCCAACTCTTGCCACTTGCCAGTTCGGTCCACTGCCCAATTTAGTCTGAAACTGAGATTTTAAAAAAATGTAACTTCCTTGTGTTGATGCAACACATCCTGCCACTGTGAGAATGGATTGCTTTGTCATCAGTAAAATGGAATAAGTTCATAGAGCAGGACAGAAGAATGAGGAAAAAATTCCTTTATGGAAAGGAATTAACACCCACCTGGAAGTATTTTTTTTTAATTTTTTTAAATTTTTTTTTTTTTTTTTTTTTGTCTTTTTCCTTTTTATCGGTACCGGGGATTGAACTCACGACTGCCTGCTTGCAAGGCAGGCGCTTATGCCGCTGAGCTAAACCTCCAGCCCCAGGAAGTATTTTTTATAAACAACTAATATATTAAGTCTGTCAAAAATTTTTTAATGTAAAATAACAGATTATGCTGTTTTCAAGAACAGACACACAGACCCATTAAACCACCAACTCTGCAGTGTCCCTAAAGCGGCAGGAAAATGGCTGCACAGCCGTGTCACACATCTATCCTAACATAAGACACAGCATCTCCTCAGCACCATTTATTTCCCGAGCATGAAGGTAAAAGCCACATCTTTTTTCTATTACATCAGCCTGAGATTTTCCATTGATAAACGTTCCTTTCTAATTGCAGAGTACTATTAACACCAGGAGTATAACAGGAAATTTCATATCTCAACTGTTTGCTCATGGAAAAATGACTCAGATATTTGATTCTAAATTAAGTACATTTGATCAGGTACATGAATGCAAATGGCTACCCGTGTTTTACTTACTTTCCCCACCAAAAGTTAGGCCCATCCAGATTCTTCTGGGCAATTCTACGAAAGACAGCTTCTAAGTCTATGTAACAGTCGTCATCTGTCTTTAGCAACAAACTGAAGCTGGTTGTTTCCGTGGTCCTGTTGGCACAAAAGGGACAGGAGAGGTCAGTGGGACTAACAGAACACCAAGGTGGTGGCTCCACTCGCACCTGAACCTGAACTGCATCTGTTCTGTCTGCACAGCTTTCCATGTCTTGCTCCTCCAACACCAAGAGTGTCTGCTCTAACACAAGCCTGCTGTCAGCTATGGCCCTTGCTTGGTATTTACTAAGTAGCGTAACACAGAGAAGCACAAGGCTGACTTAATTTTGTGGTTAGAAGCCAGGGTCTTGTGGATGTTAGGCTAGCATTCTACCACTGAGCTATATCCCCTGCCCAACCAAGCTGAGTTGAGAAGGTAAAGGAAAAAGAACACAATGACAAAAATCTGGCTTGATTAAAATATATGTCTGAACAGATGCTTCTTAGGCATTATTCAGATCAGGGTGCCGGATCTGTTAACCATTTGAACCTTGCCCTGTGAGGCATACCGAGCTCTCTTACACAGAACACTGTTACACAATAGGCATTTTTTGCTGCCATTTATATTATACTCAAGACAGAGTATGTTTTGAAAAAATTGACTTATGACACCAAAACATTACTTTCCCCTTGACAATTAAACTATTACAAATAATTACATGGAAGGAATAGGACAATGACCTGATATAGACAACAAAAGAACTGATTCGTTCACTTCACACCATCAATTTTTGTGTAAGTCTGTTTAAACTTGCAGAATCAAGCTGTGTGTGGTGACACACACCTGTAATCCTAGCACTGGGGAGGCTGAGGCAGAGGATTGTTGCCAGCTCAAGACCAACTAGACCTACAAAGTGAGCTCAAGGCCAGCTTGAAGTGTAGAGCAAGACCCTGTCTCAGAGACAAAAAAAAAAAAAAAAAAAAAAAAAACCCAAACCAAACCAACCAACCAACAAACAAAAACCATAAAAATGCAGAATCTTGCTAGGGAATTAGTTGTTTCACAAATCTTAATAAAATGAATCTTGAGAAAATTTCATTAAGTCAAAGAAGGATGAATTTTTAAGAATGGTTCTATACCAAACAGAATATCCCTGTGCTTATGAGGTTTATTTCTAATTAATAACATAGTAACTAATTAGAAATAAACATCTGTGATAAAGGACCTTTAGTCACTCAACAGAATAAAGACGGTAAGAGAAATTTCATTTATAACATGGAGAGAAGGACTGGAGAGTTGCTCAGCAGCAGAGCACACATCCAGCAGGTGGAGGGCCGCGGTTCACTCTCCAGCACCTTGGGCATGAGGTAGCCTGAAAAGGTGCCACGTGGTAGGGTGAGGGTGTGTGAGCTATGGGGAAGCCGGTCTCAGAGCACAGCCTGACTGCAGGGCCTGCAGAAGAGACAACAGCCTGAAAGAGGCAGCAGTGTAGAGCGGAGAGACCAAGATCTCAGACGTGGGTAAGGAGAAGAAAAGGCTTAACTGAAACTGAAGGCGGTATCTACATGCAAGACTTCCGCACCTGGGCAGCAGCTCCCTACAGGAAATCCTAGGACACCCCTATTCGGACTTCCCCTCTTGTTCCCACCTCCATCACCTCACTGCTATGTCTTGGTCCTATCCATACCCAGAACTCACACCAGTGGGCCTTGAGTTGAAAGGTTCCTTTTCTACAGCTATTTACACTTGGTCCTGGTATCCCAGACACACCCATGTGCCCTCTACCTACAGGATGACTCCAAAATTATGTCAATGTGCCCTAGAAATGTCACCTTCCATTAACTGGACCATCTACCCTCAGGATCAGGAAGCCATATTCATAAAAGTACTCGTGAATGTCTCATCAGAGAAAAGAAAACAAGACACAGAACTACCAATAGGAGACAGAGAAGGTTTTGAAAAAGCAAAGGTAAAGCTATGAACTCTTTATAGGTTCAGCCTCCATGAGACACAGTGTGAATGGCCTGATCCTACAGCCAAGGTAAACAGTACCAAAGGACTGACCAGTAAGTTTCAGGTGCTTAGAGTAACAATTATAATAAAATAAGTTACCTTACAGTGTTATTGTTACAAAGGTAGCAATTGCAACTAAGATCCAAGAAACACTGGAGGCTCTGGAAGTTACAAATATGATAGATTCTAAAGGTTGTTAAATTTTACTGAGCCAGCTTAGAATCAAGGCAAGTAGGTGTTGTTGCTCTTGTTTTTTGTTTGTTTGGTTTTTTAAATAAACAAGGTTACTCAGGTTGGCCTCCAACTTCTGGCTCAAGTGATTCTCCTGCTTCGGCCTCATGAGAAGGTGGGGCAACTGGCACATGGCACTTGGCCCAAGGCAAGTTCTTAAACTGGTGGAATACAGAATAGAAAACCAGTGGATATTTAGTTGAACAGAACTAGTGTTAGAAACTTCAGCCAAGGCCTCTGGGTGGATGCGTGTGAACAGAACTGAAAAGGGGCCACTGCCAAATCCACTGACTCATCTAATGGTAGCTAGAGACAACCCTTGTAAAGAGGAATGACTCGAAGTGAATTATTTTCGCCTGTTTGCTTCTGATCAGTTCCTGTAATTCATCTTGTGGATCTGCTCAAATAAGAAAGTGGCGGCATATTAGAAAATGTCTTCACCAGGATCCGACAGGTCATACTCCAGTCAGGCAGCAGTTTTAGGATTTTGTGTTTTGAAATCTCAGTGGCTCAATATGGATATTGTTTCTCTATCAAAAAAAAAAATATGGGGCTGGGGATTTAGCTCAGCGGCATAAGTGCCTGCCTTGCAAGCAGGCAGTCGTGAGTTCAATCCCTGGTACCAATAAAAACGAAAAAGACCAAAAAAAAAAAAAAAAAAAAAAAATACAAGTTCTAGCTACCCAATGTTTTCACGACCCACCATCTATAGAAGTTTAGTAATTTTGCAGGAACATTTCGGTAAGTGTCAACAACATCCACAAAGACAATGTCACCGTGGACCCTGCCTTCCTCCTTCAATAAGGCATCTTCCTCACGGAGATTCCTCATGTGATCAACAAGTCGCTGAGGCCGAGAGTGAAGGTTACGTAAGAGAGCATCGCCTTCTGAAAAGGAAAGTTGAGAAGTGGAGGAAAAGGCTATTGCAAACATAAGACAAGATTCAGATGAGGAGAAGGTGGAACGCCAGCTAACAGGTACAGAGCTGCTTTATGGGCGATGGAAATATTCCTGAATTAGAGAAAATGGCTGTAGTACTCCATATGAGTATACCAAAATCCACTGAACTGAACACATTAAAAGGGTGAATTATATGCATATAAATTTTACCTCAATAAGGTTGTTCTTTTAATTACAACAGATCACCTTCTATGTTGGGATATTAAGATGAGGTACATGAGGTTCAGTATGCCTTTCAGTCAACTTACCCTGGATAGTGTAAATGAAACCACCTGCAACTCCCTCCACACCTTCCGTGAATTCATGAGGCAGCGTGCCTTCCCCAGCCTGAAAGCAACAAGAACAGAATTACTCGAGGTTTCATTACTAAAAATAACTCATATCCCTAAACCCACTTTGACAGAAGTCCTAGCATAATTCCACCACAGCAGAAAAATCCATCTAAGATGCTGGTGCAACAAAGATTTAAACTGATGTGAATGCCATATGTATTATTCCATTTGTCTGGCCTACTTACCAGAGGTCAACAGTCCATAGATGCCCAGAATTTCAAGTTATGTATAATCATATGTTCATCTAACTTGTTACCGTAACAGCACAAAAAAATTATTTTACCCCATCATTTTAAAAATTCTTAAAATTAAAAAATATTAACCTTTTGAATTTTTCAGGGAATGAAAGTTCTTATGAGTTCAAAGAGATCGCAGCGCATCTTAAAATTAAGTGACCACACGGAGAAAAGCTCCTCTAAATCAAGTTTGTCTCAAACACTTACAGAGCTCTTTGTCGGCTACTGCGGGTTGGATCAGACCCTCACAGTTACAGATTAGCAAGCTTATGCTATTTCCTCTACACACTGATCTACCACAAGGGATACTGCTTAGCTAGTCTTTTTATAAACACATCTCTTCAGCAGAGTTGTACCACTCAAAAGAATGTTGGAAGGGCAGGAGAGAGTATTCTGAGGTCACTGTGGTAACATGTCATTTAATTTGAAATGATTGTTAAAAAAAAATTACTGGGGCTAGGGATTTAGCTCAGCGGCATAAGTGCCTGCCTTGCAAGCAGGCAGTCATGAGTTCAATCCCTGGTACCGATAAAAAGGAAAAAGACAAAAAAAAAAAAAAAAAATTACTGTATGTGGGGGCCAGGGATTTAGCTCAGTGGCATCAGCACCGGCCTGGCAAGTGCAAGGTTGTGAGTTCAATCCCCCCCCCCCAAATTACTATACATGAATGCTACAAATTCCAATCTTGCAGTTCTGTAAAAGGTTGCATACCCTCTATTTTATGAGTTACTAGGTATTGAACCCAGCATCTTCACACTGAGCTATATCCCCAGCCCCCTCCTCCCAGTTTTTAAAAAATTTGAGACAGTGTCTTGCTAGGTTGCTGAACTTCCCAGACTGGCCTTGAATTTATGATCATCTTGCCTCAGCCTCGCAGAGTGCTAGGATTACAGGTGTGTGCCACTAGGGAATCTTGTTCTTCCCTTTTCTGATATAGTATATTATTTAGGCTGGCTGGCTGGCTTGCTTATTTATTTATGAGGTAGGATCTCACTATATAGCCTAGGATGCCTCAAACTCACATGAGCCTCCTGCCTCAGCCTCGAGTGTTGGGATCAGAGGCATGTGTCACCATGCCTAGTCCTAAAATTAAGTTTAGAACTCGAGTTCTTTACTAACTTTCTTCTCAAAGGTCACAGGATGGCTGTCTGCTCACATTTGCACATGAGGGTTCTTATAACAGGCTATTAAGTCCCCCATCTCAAATATCTTGAGCATTTAAGCTATCTCAACCTCTACAACTATTTTTACCCCCAAAGCAGATCATTGTAGTCTTTATGTCTGTGAACCTAGTCCTCACTGTCTTAGCATAACAAGTTCAAATATAGAATTTTGGCGTAGCCAGGCTATTTTTAAATTTTATAAATAGGGAAGAAAGCCAGATACAGTATTTCAGGCATTTGCCTTGAAAATAATGGGAAAAAAACCTCTTATAATTTCCATAAAACTTTCTATTTCAAATAAAGAACTTTTCATAATAAAGGATGAAATCCCAAACACAGAACATGGATGAAACCCTAAGCACGACCTAAAAGGCAATGTGTGCAATTACATTTGAAAATGAGGCTCACTTCTTTAATGTCTTTCTGTGTCCCACTGCAAACCTGTATGAAGTGGACCCATATGGTCTTCCCCTGTGCCCGCCTTACAGTACATGTGCTACAAACACTTTCTGAAGGAGTAGTCCCTATCACACACTTGTTCCAAACTCAAGACGCAACTCATGTAAATAGGCTTAAAATCCACAGAAATCACTGAGCTTATGATTGAAATGTGTAGTGCCTTCCTAACCAGAACCGAGGATGGAAGGGGGCCTGTGGCAGCACCATGTGCACCACTGATTTACTCATCTGCCTACAGCTTCATTATCCTGTATCTGGGAACTGTACCTGTCCAAATTGGATGTCTTAAATTTGAAGCAAATTTGAATAAATGAGAAGTCAGAAACCCCAGAGATGCTTCAGCAATACAAACGAAAAAAGTACTCAATTTTCCATTCTTTCATTCATTCATTCATTCACCATTCATTCATGACAGAGTTCCTCCACGTTGCTTGAGGCTGGTCTCAAACTCCTGGATTCAAGCAATCCTCCTGTCTCAGCTCCCAAGCAGCTGAGACAACAGGTGTATAGGTGCACCTGGCTCAATTTTTTTAGCCTACACGGTTTTAACTGACATTTTGCTATCAAAGTGAGATATACCTTGAATACCTTGAATACTATTAAACAGGTGTTCTGCTGACTTAAAAATGGCTGAGAGGGCCAGGTGTGGTGGCGCATGACTGTAATACCAGCACTCAGGAGACTAAGACAGGAGGACTGCTGTGAGTTTAAGGCCAGCTTGAACTACACAGTGAGACCTTGTCTGAAATAAAAAACACACAGTTGTGACTAAAACACACTCTCGTTGTACCAATCTAACCTGACCAGGTGACACACACCTGTGGTCCCAGCATTTTGTGAGGCTGAGATAGGGGAAATCACAAATTTGAGCGTAGGCCAGGCAATTTAGCAAAATCTGGTTTAAAAAAATGTACAAAGGGTTGGGAACATAACTCAGGGCAAAGGCCCTTAGTTCAATCCATGACACACACACACACACACTCTCTCTCTCTCTCTCTCTGTATCAATCCAGCTTGAAGTAAAACTACAGTCACTAATTCACAGCATCACACAGCACATTGCAGCTTCTCATCTTCAGTAGCTCAGCAACATTTCCTATTCTATATGCTAAAAGACGTAAGAATCATTTGGTGCTGGCTGGGATCCTGGGAATATACAAAAGCAAATTTAAGAACACTTCTACATAGTAAAAAAAAAATCTGCTATTAGTCTAAACAAAGTGGTGGCTTACCGAAATGACTCTGAGAACTCCCCCTCCATCATTCACCGTGACTTTGTGAAGATTTCTTGACACGAGGCCATGTGGGTCTTGGCTCTCCCACACTATTGTACCTTCAAAGCTCTTTGTTAGGGGAGAGATGATTATTGAGTCAATTGTTTACCGATGTCATTTAGATTTTAAGTATTAGGTGAGACTCTTAAAAATTTATGCCAAAATTTTAACAAACCATTGTAATGTTTTGGTGGCTACACATTTCTTCCATATACACCTAAAAGAAAATAACACTGAGTATATGGTCAGTATTGCAGATGGCGTCATTTCCCATCATATCAGAAGCATTTGATGTTGCAGCTGTCCTTTGAGTGTACAAGGTGCTACTAAGTGGAGCATCCTCACTCAACATTCCCTTACTGTCTGACATCTGGCTGCTACCCTGTATCTCCCGAAACAACTGAAACAACTGAACCAACGTGGGAGTGTTTTGATACATTGTAGTCTCCCTAATATGAGATTTAGGAAAGGTTACATTAATGACAGATTTTTTCTTTAAAAAATCCATTTAATTTCAAAAGGAAAAAAAATTCAAACACATGTTAATTAGGGGGCAACAATGGTACATACATAATGCAACACATTTTTAAAAACGATTCCTTATTCATTTGTATTTCTGATTCCTGGTGAAGTTGAAATATTGGCCTTCTCTTCTGAGAACTGCCTTGCCATGCTTCTTTGCCATTTGCTACTTTCTATTTTTTTTTTTTTTTTTTTTTTTTTTTTGGTCTTTTTCGTTTTTATCCGTACCGGGGATCAAACTCACGACTGCCTGCTTGCAAGGCAGGCACTTATGCCGCTGAGCTAAATCCCCAGCCCCTCTACTTCCTATTTTTGTTACTATTCTATGTCAACTTTTTACAGAGTGCTTATCTGAATCCTGTGCATATTTTACACGCTCAAATATTTCTCTCAGTGTTGCCTGCCACCTATTACTCTTCTTACAAATTCAGAAGTCTAAACATGTCACCTTGTGAAATCAGACAAGCTTCTCCTTTGTGATTATTACTATTAAACTCCAAGCTACACTCCCTTGCCCAAGGTATGATGTACGTTTAAATCTTAATACTTTGAAATTTCTCTATGGTCCCCACTTTTCTCTCTGCCTGGCTGATTCTTTAGGATACTCAAGACACTCAGGTCCCAGCTCCACTAGTGTCTCCTCTGGCTTTCTCCAGAGCACCACCAGAAGGTACCAACACTCAACTCGTATCACATCCACTGCTTTATTTGCTTACCACCATTTATCATCTGCAATTTCTTTCTCTACCGCCAAGCTAAGTGCTCTCTGGAATGCAAGCAACACAGGGTAGGGTCTTGTCCCACCAACCACTGTGTCCCCAGTACTTAGAACACCCAGATATAACTGAAAATTCAATAATGCTTACTGATACATAATGTGGAACAAAAAAGTCCATTAGAATGACTCCTGGTTTAGGGCATCAAATACAACTCTAATATCTTAAAAAGAAATTCATGTATGAAATGGAGAGATAAATTTCTCATACTAATGTGTCACTTAACCAGCAGTATAAGGAAACTACAGAAAATTCAATTTGTCTGACAAGCTAGGCCAGTGGCATATTTAAGGCATATAAGGCATATTTAAGGAATATAATTTTTGCTCCACCAGAACAGAAATACTGAGAACAGGGATTCCCTCAGTCTGGGTCACACAGCAGACAAATCCCTAATCATCACTCTCCATGTAACTACTAATGCAGCGTGGGCCCTTAGGGTCCTTGGGCAGACCTTGCAGACACACCTCAAGCTGTGGCATCATTTCTTAGCCTTTCAGTTGCAGAAAATTACACCTGCTTCAAAGAGCTGATTTAAAAAAGGGAGAAGGGGACTTTTTAAAGACTGGTGATAATGCATACAAAAAACAGCTTTATTACTCACAGAAGGCACATAGGAAGCGAACTGTTCCTTTGAAAGATTCCACTTTCTTAGCTATGTATTTCTATACCTTTCCTAAGTGGCCTTAACCCACTCTTGAATTTGAGGTCCAATTTGAGTTATAAAAATGAAATCATTTCCACAAATACATAAAGAGCCACGCATGGCTGGTGCATTCCTGAACCCCACAACCCCAGAACTCTGGGAAGCTGAGGCAGGAGGACAAGTTTGAGCCCAATCTGGGCAACTTAGCCAATTAGTGAAAACCTATCTCAAGATTAAAAAAAACCACTGAGGACAGAGAACAGCGTGAAGGCCCTGGGTTCAGTCTCTAAATATCATGTACACACACACACACAAACACTAGGAAGAAATACACCAAACATACTGGGTAATAGATGGGTTGGCAGAGTTCTTAAGCCTTTCTATAGTTTCATCAAATTTTCAACAATGAATTTTCAACTTTTCTAATCAGAAAAAAATTTACAAGAATACAGTATACATTCAGTTAAGCAAACTTAAGGTCAGTTTTCTCTCAAATATAAGCCATTATTTAAACATTCCAGTGTCTATTTACCAAGTCTGAATTATATGTTTGAAGATTACAAATAAAAATGAAATGGCCCATAGCTTCATAAACCATCATTTGATTCGATCCCAGGTACCCCCCCACCCACCCAAATCATGACAAGCTAAATAAGGACAGTCAGTCATTGGGGGAAGGGGTGGCTAAATTTCAAGTTACCATGGGAACTAAACCTTGAAGACTCTGGGTCAGAAAGAGAGAGGCAACAGCAAACACTTCCTGAAAACCGGGAAGAGTTAAGTACGGCTGAAGCACTGGGCTCATGAGTGTTTGGATCATTCCAACGAGCCAAACCCTTGAAGATGAATGGTGTGTACGTGGGATTTCTGCACTTATACAGTGTCACTCTATGAGCATCTGACCATTTGTCAATAGACCCATTGGAAGGTCAGTGTTGGGACCTGAGGGCTAAACTCTGAGCCCTGACTGTGTGAGCCTGCCTTGGGTTCGTCCTGTGTCTTTCTCTTGCCCTTGGTATCTGTGACTGGTCTTTTAAAACTTCACTAGTTATAAAACTTACAAGCACTGATAACAATATGCTTAGAACAAATTTAGGACTTGGTGAGTGCTTGGACAGGAAAGCTGATAACAGATCCCATGACTAGGAAAGGTTCTGATGACTGAGACAACAGGTTAGAATGTTGGGATGGAGATGGGGTCACCACTAGAAAGCCTGTGGCACAGGCAAATGGCAAATCTCAGTGGGCTGCTACAAGCAAGTCTGCAGTTCATCACCAAGTCCAGGCTGTGCATACAGGGGCAATGGATGAAATGGCCGGGAGGGGTGGGCAAAGTCAACTAGACTACAAAATGAACACTAGTGCCTTTTTTTTGAGATAAGGCCTTGCAAAGTCTGTAAATCTTCTTGCTTCACCATTGTAGGATACTTAAGTGGGAGGATCTCCATGTCTTTACAACCAGCCTAGGTTACATAGCTAAAATACTCTTGTGAATCAGGTGTGGTGGTGTATGCCTGTAATCCCAACACTTGGGAGGCTGAGGCAGGAGGATTGTTGCATTAGTCTTCAAAGTGAGCTCAATGCCAACATGAACTGCATAGTGAGACCCTATCTCAAAAAAAAAAAAAAAAAAAAAGATACTCTTGAGTTACAAAACTCAGATTGGACCTGTAGAAGCTCAACAAACAATCAAAGAGATAATGAACCAAAGTAAACACTATAGTGACCAAATAAAAATTCATGTTGAAACTACAAATCTTGAAAATCTGATGATAAAACCAGTAATTCTATCCCACTCACTCAACCGACATCTGGCATCTGACCTGCTATGTTCCAGTGGCTCCTTCTTGGCAGCCACTCCATTTTGTTTGTGTCTGAGCTGTGATACAATGCTCAGCATTATTCACTAAAGTAATTACCAAAAAATTCACTGTCATCCCCGGTGGTCTCGATTTACTGCCTGAGCTGTTCTAATCCACTGGGTGCTATTATCATGCAGGCCAGGAATAGGCTGGGGTCTCTCCTACCTTCTAGGCTCTTTTGGAAGGCATCACAAAGCCAGAACCTCTTCAGATACAAATCAACTTGCTTATGGCAGTTGTATGCCAAAATTGGGAAACCAGAATACAAGTTAGGCAAAAAACCAGTACGGGACAGGGTGGCAAAATGAAATATAAGTTATCTGCAACATATGTAAGTGAACTGCAACCCATTCCACGTGATCTTTGGTGTCATGGATCTTCCTTACTACGCCACTAAGGTACATCCCCAATCCATCTGCATCATGCTTCTAATTTCTCAAACTCAGAGTAGCTTCAACATAAGGCACATTTGTGTGCATAAAACATTAACGACTTCTTGTGAATTGGATAAATGACGTCTAATCTCAACTTTCATAAGAAGTATATGTGTTCACAATACTCATAATGCCTCTAGTGATTTAGCTGAACAAAAACAGTCTGCAGTTTTTAAATTAGGTTTAGGTTTCAACTGCACTATTAAGGAAAATATAAGATCACAGAAACAATTATTTTAAGAGAAACACACAGCAGTCTTTTACACTTGTGACCCCTGCTGAGGTTTACGCTTCACTGAGCCACACAGTGAAAACACTACAAAAGATCTGCTCACATTACAAGCTACACTGCTGTCACTCTGTCACCAAGGAGCACAGAAGCTCATCACTGACTTCCACAACAGACAGAACCAGCCACAGCTCTCCCCCAGCGCTCCCCACAGGCAGCAGATCTACTGTCACTTCTCTAGGCTTGTAAGTCCCAGCAGGTGTGGGGTAGCAGAAGAGTACATGTATCATGAACATGTTTTCAACAAAAATAGGACTTTGTATAATAGGAAAGTATATTTAAAATTTAAGTTTCTTTTTTCATTCTTTCTATAAAGCTAATATATTTATTGCAGATCATTTTGAAAATATAAAAGAAAAAAATCAGGTAACCATTATTAAAATTTTTGTTTTTATTAATATTAAAAATTAATGAATAACCAAGCATATTTATCTTCAGGTCTGAAGGGAAATGACACTCTCCAGGGTAGGTCACTAAAGTCCTTCAGCTTGTGACTGTGGATGAGCTAGACACACCACCCTGAACACCAGCAGGGGCGTTAACCCCTCTCTCCCAGCCTGTCTTACTCCAAAAAACCACAAACCTAAAAGAGTTGGAATCGCCACCCGAATCGCCTGGCCTCAAATGCTCACATTTTGCCCCACTTGGGTGCTTGATATCCACAACTTTCCTACTGCTTTCAGATCACTTCAAAGTACTACGGCACAATGCAGGCGCCACGACAGCCCACCTGCAGCCTTGTGACATGTAGTTCCTTAGAGTAAGGACATTCTAAGGAAATACAGCTTATAGACCAATTAAATAAAGGGCCGACTGTAAACCAGGACTAGCTGAAGTATCAAAGAATACTTTCCTCTTCTTTGTCCTACACCATCTGACTCTTTCCTCAGGGACAGTTTTGCAACCTCAGCATTAAAGACATCTGGGCCAGGCCATCTCTTTCTGTGCACCGCAGGATGGTGACCACCATCACTATACCTCTGCCCACGGATGCCATTCCTGTCCCCCAGCCAGGCGGACTGTAACTGAAAGTATCTCCTAGCAGAGACTTCCAGAAAGAGTAAAGAAACCCTGCTCTTACAGAACAAAGCCCACATCTCCATGAGAAGCAGCAGCAGTAATGACAGCAGACAGCACGTCATGGCCGCCTAGCAGCATGTTCTAAGCAATCTGCATGTGTCAAGCTATCTACCCACAGAATCACCCTCAGAACTGTGTAGTGCAGCACCTCATTACAGAACAGGAAAGAGACGCGGTGAGGGCAACATGTCATGTCAATCAGCCGTTAAGTGGCAGAGCAAAGATTCAAGCTCAGCCATGCTGGCAAGGACCCTCAGGCCACTCCTCAGTCCCAGAGCATCATCTCCTCTCTCGTGCTGAGACTGAGCTTCCTAAGAATCGACCCTTCATCAGGCTCCAGATCTTTCTGGACAGCACCCAGGACAGCGCCAGTGTTCCTTGTCTCCAATAAAGGTTACTCTCCCTGCAGGATTTACACACATGGGGTTTAGAGTCTGCCCATTTTGCTGGTTCTTAGCAGACATCAATGACTCTCACTGCTGACTGGCTCCAACCCCAAGGAGATTACTAACTAGTTAGCAGAGGCAAATGCTTAGAGCACTGCCTCGCCCACAGTATGTTAAACAACAGTAGTGTTAGTTTTTCTCTCCCGTGAGTGCATAAAGCAGGTATTTTTTTATTTATCTCTTGTTTTGTTTTTGTCTTTAACTGGGAATTGAACCTAGGGATTTTGTACTGAGATGAGTCACCAGCCCTTCTTTTAAATTTTATTTTGAGATGAGGTCTTGCTAAATTGTCCAGGCTGGACTCAAATTTGTAATTCTCAATTCAGGGATTCAATCTCAGTTCAGGGATTACAACTGTACACCACCATGCCTGACTCCTATTGTTTTCGGATGTGGCCTCAGTGCTTGACACAGAGTAAATTCTCAATTAAGTATTTTCTCAGTAAATGTATGATCAAACCCAAGATAGCAGCTATGGCACTCAGGAAAAGGATGTAGGAAACAGACATTCTCCTATAATGCTAATGACTAATCAAATCACTGAAATTCCATTTAGGAAGAAGTCATGTACCTTAAAAAAAAAAGCACATACCCTTTGGTACAACAATTCATCCTAAACACCATACACAAATCAAGAAGTACAATGATGTTCACTATCATCTTTCTTGCAACACTAAAAAACTGGAAACTATCCAAAGACAGAGTTAAATGATAGTATTTCTATATAATGTAATCCTATAAAGTCATTACAATAATGAAGAATATTGATATTAAAATGGTCATGTTAAAACAAGTAAATTATGAAACAGAATAAACAAGATAATCCTAGCAACTCTATGCACAGAAGTCAAATGTTAAGTGTTATTACACCTGAGTTATAGGATTTTGATCTTAATGGTTTTCCATTAGGTTATGTATATTTTCTATTTTTCTTCAGTGTTTTAGTTCTGCTTTTATTAAAGGTGTTTTAATTTTATTTTTTAAAGACAGGTTCTCACTATGTGGTTATGTTGGCCTTCAACTCACTATGTATCCCAGGCTAGCACTGAACTCACATTGATCCTCCTGCTTCAGCCTCCCAAATGCTGGGCTTACAGGGGTGCGCCACCATACCTGGCTAAAGATGTTTTTAAATGGAAGTTTATATGTAGATAAAAGAGAAATCCCTTTGACATTCATAGAATTAGCACATTAGTTTTAATAATCTGTGCTCTAAAATCTATACAATATTACTCTGAAAACATAGACATAAAACGCAGTTCTGTTGTTGCATGAGACTGTGGTTAGTTGGAAAGGCTGATTAGTGGTCTAATTTCCAAATTTCAACTCAGCTTTGGTATTGCAATATGAGCTCTATAGCTGTTCTAAAGTAAATCCCAGAGACGTCTAAGACACTCTAGGTTCCAAAGCACCGAGTTTAGGAATATATTCAGACCAGACGCAGATGGATGAATAATCTGTTCAAGCCAGCTCACGACATGCTCTGGAACCACACTGCAGTGTCACTGCAGGATCAATGTGGGCACTAACCAAGTGAGGTGATCTCCACCATGCACCTATGCAAGACAGCACTGAGAGGCCCAGAAGGTGGTAGACATGTTTTCAGGCCTCAACCAAGCTGATCGCCCTTTGGAGAAGTTCTATTTAACTTAAAAATGAGCGATCTCTCCTGTCTAGATTGATTCTTTTTTTCATTCTTTAGATAAGGAAATCAATTTAGAAATGCAATTTACCAAATAGTTTGTGCTTGGTCTGTCAATCAGCATCTAATATATATTATCCTTTCTCACTGAAACTATCACATAGACATAGTTCTCTACTCCACAGTGATGCCAACAGAATAGTTTCAAAACACAAGGTCAAAACCTCTGAGGGGTAGTAAAGTTCTCTGGAGTTACAACTGCAAGTGCTACATTTTAGTACATTCATGGCTGCTTCCCTGCTCTCCCACCCTGGCCAGCACCCTCTCCTTTGATGGGCTGAACCACGCACCTCTGGTAAGATGAACTGCTCCACAGGCTTGTACCACAGCTTGTTCACTTGAACACCACAGCTCGGAGGACTAAAGCGAGCAATGAAGAGGGCCTCCTACACATTGGGGAAGGGCAAGAAATAGAAAAACAGAGACAAGAAAGAATATTTCATGTACACACTGCATATGCAATAAGTCCTCAAACACCATCCAGCTTGGTCAACGAAATTCATTAGGGTCCCAACTATGGTGATTCATGTTGTTCTACTGTAGTTTTGCCATTTTGGGGGCTTCTAGTACAGTCATGATTATTAAATAAAGATATTTAAGACAACCAAAGTTGTCTTAAAAATCTCAATTACTAAACATAACCTTAATTTTTTTTTTAATACAACCTTAAAACAAAACCGCACTTTTTTTTTTGCAGTACCAGGGATCAAACTCACGACCTTACACTTGGCAGGCACACACTTACGTGGCTGAGCTAATCCTCAGTCCAAAACCCCCCATCCTGACATGAAAAACATTAAAGGAAGTGAGAGGTATTATTAAATTCAGCTAATTAAAGTGTCAAAACTCCCTCAAGCCAGGCAAGTGGCACACATCTGTAATCCTAGCACTTGGGAAGCTGAAGCAAGAGGATCACTGTGAGTTCAAGACCAGCCTGGGCTACAAAGTGAGCTCAAGACCAACCTGAACAGACCCTGTCTCAAAAAGACAAACAAAACAAAACTCCCTCAAAAGGTTGAGATTAAAGTGGAAAGATGACATATTTACAGGGGATGGGAGCAAAAAAGACTCAGGAACTCCCCTCAAAAAGAGCTATCAGACTGGTGCAATTGCACTGCATACGCCTGTAATCCCAGCATTCTGGAAGGCTAATGCAGAAGGACTGCAAATCTGAACCCTACCTGGGCAACTTAGGGAGACTATGCCTGGGAAAAAAAAAAAAAACAGGAGGAGGGAATAGGGATATAATTCTATGCAAAGACCCTGGGTTAAACACCAAAACAAAACAGCCCTTCAGAAGAAAACATATATTTTTAAAAAAATAAAAAAGAGAATATAAAAGAGGACTGATTCTCAAGATGTCTATTGTTTTCTTTGTGCACTCCTGTGTCTTTTCAGCTAAGAACATTTTCTTATTCTCATGACTATCCTTTATATACTAAGTTACCACAAGTGAAATTTCTGTGAAAGCTATCAAGACCATGCAGACCTTTACAATTAAGGACAGGTCAGTGTAGTACTGTGTCTATTCCTTTCATGAACACCAGTTCTTACCAATTGAGTTAGGACATAGTTTGGACTATGATGTATAACCAAAATACACGGCAAAAAGTTTTAAAAAAATTTTTCAAAATGTATTATCGTAAAAGACACTGTCATTCATCCCACCCAAAAGACTCCCCCTCACACTGAGCTCACTTCTCCCATTGCTCTTGCTTTCTAGAGCAGTTCTGGATGTTCGCTTACATGTCCTCACATGTGGTAAATGCCAAGGAAAAGCGGGCTCACAAAAAGGTTACAGTACGTCCTCATCAGCCACATTCACCAGATCTGGCACTACTTGATTTCTGGTTCTTCCCGAAGTCAACATGACCGTGAGAGTTAAATGTTTTGAGTTAAATGTTTACAACATTGAGGCAGTTAGGGCAGTGCAACTAAAGTTATGCACAAAAGAAAACTTCCAAAATTGCTTCACAAAGCGGCAAGAATGATGCAATAAATGTGTTCATCTAGAAGGGGATTAACGGTGATGTGTCTTTAGGGTAATAAATTTTTTGAAATTTAAACATTCACTTTTTTCCCCCATTACACCTTATATATCTACCTATGAGCCCTTCAGGATCTACCTTCAACCTTTTGACCTTTGTCTTCTTTTTGAAGACAAAGTTTACCAACTCCTCTCTGGCTGTAAATATGGCAACTAAAAGTTATCAACATGATCAAAATATTGTGTTTGAGCTAAACTTTATTGGCAACTTGAGTATTATAAATAATTTTAAAAAGACTATACTGAGTCAATTCAGTGTATTAAAAATTCATTATTAATCGTAATTTCAAGATAAGGATAACACTGAATTCATGGTACTGCTAATTCAGCTACCTACCTGAGTTTCAGCATGAATACATTTGTGTGTGGAGGGGGGAAATTCTGGGGATGGAAGTGTTTTACCAGAGTTATATCCTTCTCCCTTCAATGAAATTTCTTTCTTTTTTTTTTTTTTTTTTTTTTTTTTTTTTTTTTTGAGAGACAAGGTTTCAATACGTAGTTCAGGTTGGCCTTAAACTCACTATATGCAGCAGCCCAGGCTGGTCTCAGACTTGCAGTGAGTCTATCTCAGCCTTCTGGATGCTGACATTACAGGCGTTCAATGAGTCTTAATAACACAGACTACTACAGTTGAGAAACTTGATAAAGCTCTACTCACTAGAGTCACAGGGGCTAGATTCATTCATTCCTCTTCTATATGTATGTCTATCAATACATTAGAAACTAAGCTTCTTTAGAGGAAGCAAAAAAAAAAAAAAATTAAACTTGATCTTTACATTTACTAGGAACTTCCAGGATATCAAGACCAATTCTATAGATAACAATTATGAACTCAGGACAAAACATAAAAAGCAATGATCTGAAAGCACTGGAACTGGATCAAATAGGAAGAACCTGGTGGAGAATGAACATACGGAAGAAGGAGGAAACTGGGTATGGTCCCCACCATCTTTATTGGTCTAGACCAAAGGTAGAACTCTAGGACAAATAAAAAGCTAAATGAAAACCTGTAATTTTTCTGCCTAGAAAATTAAAGGACATAGGAAGAACAAATATCAGCTAAAGTAAAGAAGAATCCTCTACCCTATCATGAACTTCACATGGAGGGACAGCTACAAAACTGCACACATCAACCCTGCCCAAATTTGTGGCTGACTCATGAGACACATATTTAAGGCCAAATCCAAGCAGCCCATGTAAGGTCAAAACTGAAGAGAGATTTCAGCTCCTGTTTACTGCACGAAAAACAGTTTGGAATCTGTGTCTGGCCAATTTAACTGACTGCTAAAACAAAACAAGAAAATAAAAATCAATACTGTTCGAAGAATAAAAAGGAATCCAGAGCTTCTACAACAAATCATTCACAATAGCCAGGCTTCAATCCACAGTACCAGATACACAACAGAAAAAGCTTAGGATATGCTAGAGAAAAAGATGACGATCAGTGAAGACACACCCCAAGACAATTTGGAATAAGCCTACAGGGTTTTTAAAGCAGTTATAGTATGGTCATAGCTCCATTAGACAAAAACATGCTCAAAATTAATGAATATATGAAGGAGATTTTAGAGAAACAGCAACTGTAAAAAAACAAAAAAACAATTAAAAAAAAAAAAAAAAAACTACAGATCTGTGATCTGTAGGACACTACTGAGATCCAGCATAGAGGTACCTGGAATCCAAGGAGCAGTGAATGGAATGAGTGGCAATGGGAAAAGTTTTGAAGAAATAAAAAATGAAAATTCTCCAAATTTGGTATAAGAGTACATTTACAGATTGAAAAAATTTGGTAAGTCCTATGTAAAACAAAGAAAAACCACTCCAAGATACAGTCAAATTGTTTAAAACTAAACATAAAGGCAGCCTCCAAACATACGATCCATATCATGCACGCCACCAATGAGAACAATAATACAAAGGATGGTGACTTCTTACCAGAAACAATGGAGGCCAAAAACAGAGAAGAATCTTTAAAGTACTGGAAAAATAAAAATAAAGGAAAAAGAAAGCAAAGAAAACGACCACCACTACCCAGAATTCCATATTCAGAAAGCCCATGCTAAGAAAGAGGAAAAAGTAAAAATATTTTCAGAAGAATGAAAACTAAGCAAATTCAGCCATAGCAGATACACTATCAGAATTGAAGACAGATGTTATGAGATAGAAATTTAGGTATTTTGGGACAAATAAACAAAAATGGTAAATATGTGGGCAAATACAAAGACTTTCTCTATAACCCTTTAACATACACTCCACTTAAAGCAAAAATTACATAAGAGTTAGAGCAGGTAGATATCAACCATCAATAAAAAAAGCAATAATGCAAAGAACTACAGCTAAAAAGCCAAGTGTAATTCTAAAAAATATTCAGTTAACTTCAAAGAAGACAGAAGAGGAACAGAAGAAAAAGGTGAAACAAACAGAAAACAAGTAGCAAAGTGCAAAGTTGAAAGCTATTTGATAACTGTACTAAATGTAAATGAAACAAACACTTCCTATAAAAAGTAGATTCTTAAAGGCTTATAAAAAGAACCCCCCAACATTTTGATGCCTATAAGAAATGCAATTTCTAGCAATCAATAAAAATAGTAATACATCATACTCAAGAGGAGTTATCCCAGGAATAGGGGGGTGCTTAACATCCCAAAGTTAATAAATGCAATTCATCATAATAGAATAAAGGATAAAAATACTGGAAACAGTCTGGGTTCCCACCAACACTACAATGGGAAGGCAGCCTACACTGCTGAATACTACTTATCAACCAAAAGAATAAAAAGGGAAAATTTAGTGATCATACAACATGATGAATAGGTTTTAAAACGTGGAGAAAAAGATGACTTATACAATGGAGTACTTCTCTATTCCTCCATTTATAAATGAAGTCTGAAAATAGACAAAATCAGTCTATGAGAAAATAAAAACTCAGAACAGTGGTTGCCTCCTTTGGGAAACAGGAAATGAACCGACTGGGAAGGAACATAAGGGAACTTTCTAGGACCATATGCTTCACACACTAACAGTAGTGTGGGTTAAACAGGTTATGGAATTTAACAAACTATATTCACATTCTATTTTATGTAACATTTAAGAACAATAAAAAAGTAAAGTCTGGTTAATGAAATGCATGCTAAAGCATTCAAGCATGAAGTGTACCGATGCCTGCAACTTCTTCTGAAATACATTTTTAAAAAGTAGATTAATAAATATATATATGTGATAAAGCAAATACAGCAAGACATTGACTACTATAGAATCTAGTTGGTGGCTAAGTGTTCACTGTATACTTTTGCATTTCCGGTATTTTCAAGACACAGATACAGACCTTTTCAGACATAATTCCATCCAATATTCCTTCAGGTATCACATGTAAACTAATCAGATCTCTCCAAATCAAAAAAATAAAGAGTAACCCCAAAAGTAAACTTTTCTCCCTCCTACATCTTTGTTACAAAAAGATATGAAGTATTGGCCTTTTATTGTAGATTTTTAGAGTTGGAAGAGACAAAATCCTAAAAGGCCCCCAATTAATTAATTAATTAATTTTTTTAACACAGTCTTGCTATATAGCCAAGGCTGGCCTCAAACTCAACTGCAATCCTCTTGCCTCAGCCTCTCAAGTACTGGGATTACAAGTGTTCACTAGCACACCCTGCTATAAGGCCCCAAATTTCTATACCTATCACCAATTTCTGAGCTTTGGGATATTTTAGATGAGAATTTCTAATCTAGGCCAACTTTCTCTTTTTCCGATATAATGGATTTATTTACAATTAATCTCTTTTCAAAACAGTAATAGAAAGTCTCTTCAACCAAAGAGAATTATACAATCTTCCAATCCAGTACATGCCATTAAGAAAAAGTTGTATTTTGGGAGAAGGAAAACACAGGAAGTCTCACACAAAGCAGTGCATACCTCCTGTTCTGCCTGATAAAGCTTCACTGTGATGTTCCTCTGGAAACCCACATCACTGGCATCGTAGAATACTCCCAGACTGGTGATAACAATTGGGTAGAGAACTCGGAAGCTCACACTAACAATTCGGTCCTCAGAGAGTTCTGATGTAGCATCTTCAGAAAGACTGAATGCCTCAATTTCCTGATTCAAAACTAAGGAAGGAGAATAGAGTTTTACATAATCAAATACATAATCTCTTATTTTACTAATATGAAGTGTGAAGCAGTCCAACAGTAAAATCTAAGTAACTACATATGTTACATGATCCTCTCACAAGTGGCAGAAATTTTTTTAAAACTCTTGAGCATCATGACTGCTCCTAGAAAAACAAACCTACTTTGAAATTTAAGAATGAACTTTTCAGCTAAATCTAGTATTCAATTTATCAAAACTGTGCTGTCAACTGGAAGATATCTAGTTGGAAGGATTGGATAAAAAGGGTAATAAACACAGTACTAATTTCAGGCATAAGTAATCAATACGTTTGATTCGGGCACAGTGGTGCACACCTGTAATCCCAGCAACTGACAAGGTTGAGGCAAGTTTGAGCCTGGCCTAGGCAACTTAGCAAGGTCCTGTCTCAAAATAAAAATTGTAATACATTTTCTAAAAAAGGCTGAGGATGTAGTTCATTATGAAGGCCTTAAGGAGTTCAACCCCCAGGATCAGTGGGGGGGAAAAAAAATCAGTAAATTTGGTTTTGCTCTGCAAATTCAGAGTTCTATTTTTCAGGCAATTTAAGGTATCTGTGACACGTCAGGCAACTGTTACAATACAGAAGTCACTAGAATAATTTCAAGTAACACTGAAAAATTCTTGGTGTACAATGGTGATAAAAGATAAGCATGATAAACAGCAGACATTTCTGACTGCCTACTTGGTCACATCCCACCAAGCTTACTTTTTCACAATTTCCCCCTTTGGGGGCAGCACTTTTGTACAGTCTACAGACTGAGAAACAGCCCAAAGACAGTAAGCAGTCTGCCCAAGGACACAGAAAGTGGCAGTCAGCATCATGTCACACCCAGGTTTAATGGCTCCCAGATCAATGGTTTTCCATTTTCCCACAGTTGTCTAATTAGTGTCCAAACAATCCTTTTCAAAGAATTTCTAATTCCGTAAGTGAATCAAGATAGATTATATGGGTAGTTAATATGGCAGACTACCAGTGTTATTTTGAAAAATAAGATATTTTTTAAAAGAAGATTATATCAAAGTTCTTTGTGTCTTTTAGAGTTATAGTTTTCAAACTTTGCTAATTGTACCATCTTGTAAGTTAAAAACAAATCTGCACATATACCCACATACTTACTAAATAAATATAAATACCATAGTCATATTCAGTATTAAAATTATATTTAGGGCTGGAAACACAGTTCAGTGTTACAGTCTTAGGTTAGCATACATGTTTAATCTTCAGCATCAAAAAAATAAATAGTAAAGTAAAATTTGTACTTACTTTCCAAACACCCCCAGGTTGTTTGGATCCTTACTTTAAGAGTTCCTAGGACCAATGATATAGGCACAATACCTGCCTGGCAAGCACGAGGTTTTGAGCTCAATCCCCAGTACCAAAAAAAAAAAAAAAAAAAAGAGTTTCTAGAAACTATTATACACTTAGTAAATGCTCAATAAAATGTAATTAAAGGGGAAGTGATGGCTTCTGTTCCATTAGAGACATCACAGGAAGGAAAGATGACAGGTATTTGTCATGGACAGGGCAGGTACTGCCAGAGGTAAGACTCCAAAAATAGTGTGTGATAACAAAATGTTTCTCTTTAATATAATCAGGAAATAAGACATCCAAAGTAGAAGCATGTCTATTAAAGGCATCTGCTCAAACACACTATAATATTCTTAGAAATTTTTTTTTTGAGACAGGGTCTTGCTGTGTATTCTAGGCTGGTTTCCAACGCTCTGATCTTCCTGCTTTAGCCTCCTAAATGCTGGGATTACAGCTGTGCACCACCAGACCCAGCTAAGGATTTTTTTGACAGAGAGAATCTCTCTCCAAAACCTGCCTATACTACCATCCCTGACCAGATATTTTCTACCTTAAAAAATGACCTTGAACTCAAGCTACCTGAAAAACAAACTGCTACTTAATTTCTGAGATGAAGGTCTCACTATGTTACCCAAGCTGATCTACTCCTGGGTCAATGAGATCCTCCCACTTCAGCCTCCCAAGTAGCTGGGACTACAGGCATTCAAGTGTGCCAGGCTTGGTTTGATAATGCTATTAATCAAACCTTCTACAAATCATAGAATCATGATTAATGCTCACTGTGACGTTCAGGCACTGAAATAATCCTAAATGCTTTCAGGTAAATAAAAAATATAAAATTAATGTGTTTTTTAAAATGTAACATACAGCAGTACATGCATGAACATTTTCTTGTTAAATATTTAGTACACGTTTGCAGTTCACGCAGTTTACAATCATGATGGGGCGTGGTTACATGTACATACCACAGCTTGTTTTGTTCTGTTTTTTTAATTTCCTTCCTCTTCCCTCCTTCTCCCTCCGGAACATTTTCTGTCAATGAAGAGGTCTACTCCTTTACTATAAATGAGTAATGGCACTTAAAATAGTAAATTCTGGATTTTTTTTTCTTTTATCTTTTGCAGTGCTGGGAACAGAATCCAGGTTCTGGGTTCTGCTAAGGGCTCTACCGCTTAGCTAAATAACTAAGTTTGGAAAATTCAAAGGAAAGGGTTTTTTTCTAGCTGCTGTTTAGTTTGATTTTTCACTCACTGATCTGTTTATGAGACAATGTCTCATTGTGTATTTTAGGCTGGCCTTGAGCTCACAGTGATCCTCCTGCCTCAGCCTCCTAAGTGCTAGGATTACAGACATGTGCCAGTATACCCAGCTGGTTTTGGTTTTCAATAGTAATTTGTAGAACTCCACATCATCACTAATGCACCACTGACAAGATGCATAATTTTTGGTTCTCCAGAGGTGTACACAACCATAAAGGTTTGACAAAATTTAAACTAATACAAGTCATAGTCATCACATAGGATCTAGAAAAGCTGAACATCTCTTGGAATCACAGCTGCACATAACATGAAATGCTAAAAAAGACAACTTACAATTTCCCCAATTACATCCCTGGTGATATACAGAGGATCTAATTAGAATCTGCTTTCTGCATCATCATGTGGACCTTCATCACTTTTAAGGCATAAAAAGTATTATAGGGTTTTTTTTTTTTTTTTTTGGTACCGGGAATCTAATATACGACCTCACACTTGCCAGGCAGGAGCTGTGCTGCTGAGCTATATCCCTGGCCCCAGAAGCACTGGCAATGATTTTTTTTTTTTTTTTTGGTACCAGGAATTGATCTCAGGACTTTGTGCTTGCCAGGCAAGCACTGTACCACTGAGATATATCCCAGGCAATGATTTTAATGTTGACTCATAACATTTGAATAAATCCACTGGTGAAATCAGCAGTTTCTCAAAAGTTTGAAATTCATGATTTAGCTAAGCTTAAGGAATTTCTAGATGTGTTTGAATCAGCCTGAAGAATATTCTACTGGACCCTGGAATTCTGTATCTGTAGAAGATCTCTACAGATTTCTGGATTGATTATTCAATCTATCAAGAGGGATGAAACAAAAGTTTTGATCACAAAAACAGACTCCATACTATTGAGTTTCACAACTTATACTCAGCATTGACATTGTAGATGGCAGTGTCTGGCAGAAGACAACTCACCTGGACTCGTGATGTTGAGCAGCCTGCAGGAGTAAGGGCTCTCCCTGTCTTCCACAGGCACTTCACAGCCATGAGCACCTATTATGAACTTCACAAGCACACTGAGAGATGTGTTGGCATTAACATCGGTTACTTATCTTCACCTCACACATGCACCTTTCCTCACGCTCACTCTGAAGCTCTTACTTTAAGACATAGGTATTCACGAGAATTAATCTCTACCTTTATTCTTCTAGTCTAGCAAAAAGCAGGAACATCAAATCGCCTACTGCCAAATGACTTGTGGGTGAGCTCTCTCCTGTAACAAGACTATATTAGCAAATGTGAAGGTTTGATCTGGCTACCAGGTGCTGCTCATGAAATCTAAAAGCAAACTACATCAATTTCTCAAAAACTATCCAAACCCTGTAATCCCAGCACTCAGAAGGCGAAGGCAGGAGGATCACCATGAATTCAAGGCCAGCCTGGAATACATAGTGAGTTCAAGGACAGTCTGGGCTACAGAGAGAGTTCAAGACTAGCCTGGACTACATAGATAGACCCCTATCTCAAAAAACAAAACAAACAAAACATCCAAAAATAAAAACCACATAAACACTATCCACATCTGCAATTTTCTTTTTCTGTTTTTCACTTTTTTATGGTACTGGCAACTAAACTTAGGGCCACACACTGAGCTGCAACCCCCTTCCACTTTGAGACAGGGCCTCCCTAAGTTGCCCAGGCAGGGCTCAAATTTGTGATTCTCCTGCCTCAGTGTCCCAGAGTGCTAGATTACAGCTTTGTGACACCCCATCCAGCTTTTCCATTATTTCTATTTTGGCAAGTGGTCTTCTGCTCAAGATTAGTCTTTCTATCCAAGATATGCTTCTGGTCCCACCCAATAAAGTTTTACAGTGTTGTTTCTCTGGAAACCTCTGGCATCACAGAGTACTCTAACTGCCTTACTGGTTACCCTGCAAATCCGATCTTCCACATCATAAAAACAGTGAACGGGACCCAGGGTCTGAATCTCTTCTCCCTCTGCTCTTTCTCTTCTCTTCCTCATCTTGGACAGTATAATTTATTCACAACAACTCAACTAGCCTAGGAATGATTTTTGAGTGAGTAGTTCTAGTTTAGACCCTCTGCTAAGTAAAAGACCTATAGTCACTGGATATCTTCACCTAGGTGACCCACAGGCAGCTGTGTTCTGAAGCCTACTAGTCCTGCCTTGAGGGGGAAATTGTCATATTTTTAGGAATTTTGAGAGCTGCAAATTTTATTAAAAATTATATAAACTTATAAATTTGTGTATTATGAGCAAAAGAAACAGTCGAACTCATCATTTTCTGATTTTACTACATTTTACTATTATCAGATTATCAGGGTCTTATACCTGCATATGTATGAATATTATAGATGGCATATTACGCATATCTTTTCCCAATTCTGCATTCAGTAACATCACATCATATTTCTTGAAACTGGCCTTGGTGGGACTATTTAGACCATAGAAACTGTCAAAACAACGGAAGTATGGGCTTAATACATTGTTTTCTTAATTGTATAGACTCAAAAAAGTTTGGAAAACGTTAATGCAGAATAAATTTACTGTACTCTATCTAGAGCTACTATATTGAGAATAGTACAAAAAAGGAGGAAATATTTTTCTCATATTCAAAGATTATGATGATTCAGCAAAGAAGTCACTGGCTTCACGGACCAAAAAGTCTCTCTCTTTAACCCTAAAGAAATACTTGTGTCAAACTGTACCCCTTTGTCAACTGCAGCCATTAATGAGTAACAGAAGAGTCTGGCAAACAACAAAAGCATTCTATGAGAATCAGTTTGCTTCGTGCAATTTACTAACTTAACAGAGTATTATCTATGTTATTAGCTGCCAGTTGTGCTACACATCTTTTATATCAGCAAAATGTATAAATACATACATGCACACGTAAGTATACTTTGTTCCAAAGAACCAGCCAGTAGGCTGTTCCAGTGCACTACTGCCTGCAGGTCCCTCGAACTCAACTCGCCTGTCGTTGAGCTGCTTTCCTCTTCTCATCTAGTCCTCTGTGCCTGCATTGAGGACCACTGTCCCAAGCACAAAGCCAGCAGTCATTCTAGATGCCTCCTCTTCTTTCCAGTCCTTGCTTGAAAAGGTCTCACCTTCCTCTTAACCTTCCACATGCTCGTCTCTTAGTCACACCTGTTCTCTTTTTCTTATTCTTTCTTGACAGGGTCTCATTACTTAACCCAAACTGGCCTTGAACTCAAGATCCTCTACCTCAGCCTCCTAAGTGCTGCGATTACAAGTGTATGCCACCATACCTGGCCCTCCGCTCTTCAAATATAACCTTTCTGTCTCTCTCCTTTCTTTCTCTCTAATACCCTCACATACTCTTCTCCCTCTAAAAGACACCTGTGCTCTAGTGACATACTACTGTTTGGAGCTTTCCATATGCCCCAGGATATTTTATACTTGTTTTATAGGACCTGTAATATTTTATAATACTATTATATCTATTTCCTTTTATTAAACTTCAAGTCACTCTAAACACTCAGACTAAGTTCCATCTGTGTGTTCTACCACACATAATACACTATCTGCTTAAAAAGACACTCAACACCTTACACAAGTAAGACACTTAATATTTAAATAGACAACTAGCATTTGCAATAAAATTATTACACTTGATCTTAGCCAAAAGGCCGAGAAGCAATTGGAATAAAAGTATTAAATCCATACTAATTACTCTGATCCAGGAAGTTGCTTTCAGCTAATAACTACTCTTACATAGATGGACTATCATTTTCATAAAACAAATCACAAAGCTTACAAATCTCTAAAGAACTTTACTCATTACCTTTAGTTCTGAGTCCTCACTGAAAAGTTGTTGAGGGGCTTTTGCTAGGCCAGTGGTGGCAAACCTATGACACCCATGCATTTTATTTTTCTTTTAAGACAAAAGATGTTAATGTATGAGTTTTTTGGGTTCTTTTTTCTTCCCAAACTAAAACCTCAGTTTCCCGTTTAACTGCAGTGTTGGCACTTCACAATAACTAAGTGGGTTGTGGGTTTCAGCTTGGACATTCGGTCTCTAAATGGTGCACAATCCCTGTGGACCCAGGTCAAGTTAGCTTCTGAGTACTGGGAATATAACAGTCAAAAAGGGATGAAACCTATTGTTCTAATGGGGAAAGACAAATCATCTATACAAGATATAAATAAACACAATGAACATGCCAGTTAGTGGCATGTGTAATGATAAAGCAAAGTGAGGGAAGACAACGGAATAGAGAGGGGTGCTATTTAACACGGGCCGCCTGCTCGGGCAATCTGGGCAGAGACTGAAGGAGGCGAGCTGTGACAGCAGTTAGTGTAGTAGAGCACAGTAGGAGGCTCACATGCAGGAAACTGACACAGAGAAGATCAAAGGCAACACACTTGAGATTCCAGTCTAAGCAAGAAAGGTAGTCAGTGAAGGAGTATCAATAGAGTATTGATAAAATTAGTTTTGAAAGGATCATTCTGAGCTGGACATGGTGGCACACATTTGTAATCCCAGCACTTTGGAAAGCTGAGGCAGAAGGATCAACGGACTGAGTGGCACGTATCTGTAATCCCAGCAATGGAGAGTATGAAGCTGAGACCAGCCTTAAGCACACAGTGAGACCCTATCTCAAAAAAAGCAACACACAAACACACAAAAATCACTCTAGCTGCTATATGAAGAATTAAGTGTATGGGGCTGCGGGTGGAAAGATTGATGTAAAGGGCTTCTGCCATAGTCCGGTGGCAGTGAAAGAAAAGTAGCGGCTTAGGTGACCATGGCAGTGGTAAAGGTGCTAAGTAGAGCCCAATTCCAAAGCTAAACTACAAGACAGCACCCAGAAGATATGCTGCTGGGGTGGACGGAGCATGTGAAAGCAAGAAGATTCAGGGTAACACTAGGTCTTCCAGTTTAAGCAGCTGGTAGAGAGGAATTCTAACTTTGCAAAATGGAAAAGGCGGGGCTGGGGATTTAGCTCAGCAGCATAAGCACCTGCCTTGAAAGCAGGCAGTCGTGAGTTCAATCCCCAGTACCGATAAAAAGATTTAAAAAAAAAAGAAGAAAAGAAAAGAAAAGAAAAATGTAATAAAGCTTAAAAAAAAAAAAGTGGAAAAGGTTCTGGAGTGACTGTGGTCGTGGTGACGATTCTGAAGCCTTTCATTTACTTATTGGGCAGAAGGGTCCAGTATCATTGTGATTGTGCCCTATAGAAACCTGTCTTGAAAAGGAATGAAGAAAATGAAAGAAAATTCACAACCACAATTCACTTGTATAGCTACTCAGACACAAAAGTGCTGGTCTAACACAATCCCGAGAGGGCTTCTCGGCCATCGCCCACATGTCTGCACATAACTGGGAGTCCAGCTTGCATGCTTCTTCCCCCCAACTCCTAACCACACAACCTTAAGGCCCTGGGCTCCTCACCATACTGAGCTACATACTACTAGCATGAGGGATGCTGCAAAGGCTCAGCTCAGGAAGAGGTGTCAGGAAAAAGAAGGCACGCTGCCCACACCTCGGGCCACATAACTGAAAATGCTACGACATGGAAGCCACTTACACTTAGCTGTGGGAAGTCAGTGAACGGCACGCTGGAATGCAGCGGGCACAGTAAATCAAAGCAAAACACAAACTACACTGAGCACCTACATAAGTACAAAGTATATTAACCAATGAATACTCTCCTCCAAGTAGCTTTTGGCTTAAAATCTTGGCTAAATTTACTTTTGGGGCCTAATTATATACAAGGAAAGCAAAATGAAACAGCCGTTTCTCCCAAGAAAAAGAGGTCATGTATCTGATTAAGATCTCTGACGCTTTTAAATAAGGTTTTTTGATCTTTCAAACTCATCAAGGAAATCATTTTAAAAACCTACCGTTGACTTAATGTTGGATGTTCAGTCAAATGCTTCAGCCAGGTGTTTCTTATCACATTTCGAAGTTCATGGTTATTGCGAGCTGATAACACACCAACTACCACATCATAGTGACCAGATTTCCACTGAGGACGTAAGGCAGACTGATCTATAAAAAATAATAAATTAGAAATAAAGTCATGTTTCAATTACTAAATCGTGTCTCCAGTTCAGTATGTCACATAAAAAGTGTACTAAAAAGGTTTATATTTGTAGAAAACATAGATAAAAAGACAATGGCTTTAAAAAAAAAATGACTCATAAACCCATCATCCAGAGAGAAACACTAACGTTTTGGTATAGTGGACCTGCCCTCCCAGGGAGTACTGAACCCAGGGGTACTCTTCCACTGAGCAACATCCCCAGCGTTTTTTTTTTTTTCAGTCAGTCTCACTAAATTGTTCAGTTTGGCCTCAAACTTCAGATTCTTCTGCTTCAGTGTTCTGAGTACCTGAGATTATAGACATGTAACCTGTATGCGGCTTGGTATAGTCTTGTCTTTCACATACATGTGTTCATGCCCAGATATGCAGATTTTTCAAAAGACGTTTGTGATAACTGGCTTTGAAATGCAATGGGGCATAAATGATAACAGGCAGCATAAATCAAGCTGTAGTTAGAATTCTGGCTTTGTCACATACAGTGGTACCTTAGTACACAAATTTAATTCTTTCCACAATTCTAGAATTCGTTGTAATACAGTTGCAACCAGACTCATGGAACAAATAATGTAAAAAATTAAGTTCGTGAACTGAGGTACCACTTTATTAGGTACAGGTTATTGAACTCCTTGAGCCTCAGCATCCTTAATGACAAAATGGGCATAATACTTCCTATAAAGTTGTTGCAAATACCAAATGAGTGAATATGTTTAAAAGCCTCAATTGGGTACAAAGTAAAAAGCACATCTTTGACAACAATAAAAAAGAAAAATAAATTACCCTTTGAAGATGAAGTCCTACACTGTCACCTAACAAGTTTGGGAAGATGAAGCTGAAGGATTTCCATATTGGAAAGTATCAGAACCCTTACTGACACCAATAATTAATTTCTACTGTCAGCAAAATTTTGTAACGTGCTAGATATGCCAACATTTTTAGTTTAAAAAAAAAATCAAGTAACTCACATATATGGCTTTTTTCCTGTCGTAAGGTCTATCTGTATTTATCTGCATTTCTAAAACTTGCTCCTAGAAAGAAAAGGGAAAAAACAGATGCACCCTCCTTGCTTTTCATCACTGGTTTCAAAGCTTGAGAGCTTATATATAGCTCTGATGAGGGATCCATTTCATCGTTATTCAGTGGTGGGAACTGATCCAAAATGTTTCCAAAAATAAATTATTGAAAACCAAGAGTCTTTACTACATTAAGCGCATTTTGTTTTTTGAGCACTGGAGATTGAACCCAGAGCCTCACACATCACATACTAGGTAAGTGTCTACGAAGCTTCTTCCCTAGCCCTCGATGCAACACTTTATATGCCAAATGGTCTAGGTACTAAATTCGGGCAAAACAAAACAAAACAAAATCATGTTGATACTTTTTGTAAGGACCAAGTAACAGTCAAAAAAGACAGACCCTCTACTAGGACAATTTAAAGGATATTACAGCAATTATAGGAATTATGTGGAAACCTTACTTTTCACATTAATATACACAGGTCATATACATTTATTTTAAAAATCTCCTTTTGGGGGACAGGGGTAGTACTGGAAACGGAACCCAGACCTTTGTACTGAGCTGCAACCCCATCCCTTTTTTGAGACAGGGTCTCCATAAGCTACTAAATTGCTGGGGTTAGGCTTAAATTTGAGATCTTCCCGTCTCAGACTTCCAAAGTGCTAGGATTATAGCATGTGCAACACACCTGGATAGGTATTTCAATCATAAGTGGAACAGAGGTACGTGTTATTCTGTTGTACCATGAATCTTACACTAAAATGAATTCCGTAAGTACAGAATTTATGTTTAACAAACTCGTTTTTTCAGGGATCAAACTTGTGTGTTAATAGGCTATGGTCATGGAATGTGTGAAATGTGGCTAGGAATATATATAGAGAGAGTACCATCTAATTATCGCTCACAAACCGTCAAGTAGTACTTATTGATCACATGAGGAAAAAAGACACAGAGAATCCAGTAACTTGATCTAAGTCAAATAGCTAGTACATGGGTTGGCTAAAATTTAATCTCAAGCAATCTAATTCCATTATTTATTACTATTCTATTCTGTAGCTACACCAAGCTTTGTGTAGTTTTGCTTAGTTTAAACTGATTTTTTTATCCATAACACTAATTTGATTGGGCAATCAGTGACAGATCACTGAAGACTGGTCAGCACATTGATTTTTTTAAAATTCATGGTCCAGAAACATTTTTTCTCAGATACCTAATAATACAATGAAAAATGTACCCACTGCTGAAACTAACTCTAAGTGCATCTTAATTTGGAGAGTAATTGAAATGCTCATGTAAAACTGACAACCTTATGTCCACCCCACTCCCCTGGCAGAAACACAGTGAGTACATTCCAGTGATAGATAGGACGTACACAAAGTGGTCACCAGCAAGTTCTGACACTGATCTCTTAGCCAGCATGCTACATTTCTTCAGTAAGAAGTTATTCAAATCCCATGTGCCTCAGTTTCTTAACCAGGGAAACAGACACACAAGTTTTTAGATGGGCTGGGGTTTAGCTCAGAGGCACAAGAGCCTGCCAAGCATGCAGGAAGTCATGAGTTCAATCCTAGTACCTGCCCCTCCCCCAAAAGAGAGAAAAAGCCTTTAGATGTTCTATATCATTTGTTTCAAAACATTTTCTCAAAAGATTAAAGCTATGAAAGGACAAAAAATCTCATTTAACCTAAACACTTCATTCATTTGACCATCATCAGAAAACAAGGTTGCTGCACAAAAGCAAAATTTCAGAATTGAAATATCCTTTTAAATGCTAAACAGGCATTTTTGATGGCTAATTAAAGTAAGTCTTTTACAAAGAGATTACTGGAGCCATAATTCAACCTTTTCTTGATGACTCAAAATCTCCATGAAAAATGTCTCCATCTATCCTTCCTTCAGTATTAATTCTAGCTGCTGCTTCAGTTTGGACTATTATTTTCACATGGACCGGCACAAGGGTAGCCTAACTGGTTTCTTCTGACTTCTCCACATTACTGCCAAACAAGATTTTTTTCTAAAAAAAAAATAGAGGTGACCATGTGGCATGAGAAAATCCCATGGATCAGGGATGTAAACTACTTTTTGATCTTATTCCACCTCTCTACCACTGTCAATCCTGCTGCTTCTAATCCCCATCTAAGCTGCTTGCATTCAGCTGCTTGGTTTTGTGCATATCGTCTTTTTCCTGCAGAAAAGTACAGGTCCTCCTTTGGCCTTTCAAGAATACTTTCAGATATACTGATCAGACTTCAGAAAAATAGGTTTCCTCGACCCACACTTTCACTGCATACCAGCCCAACAGACTCCTGAGTAGATGTTACAAGGTGTAAAACAAAGGGGCTGGTTAATAAGTAACTGTGTAGGAATGTGGCTCAGGCTCCTAGGCCCCCTCCCAATTCAGCTGCACACTCTCAACATCCTGTTACATGCTACAACCACAGGGTACCTCCTTTGATTTTGATGTCTGGGAATGAGACAGAGGGCTATAAAGTAAAGCAAGACAAAAGTACATTGAGACAATTCAGCAAAGGCAGCAAATCATCAACAGTCTATGAAAAAATCTGTGACTCAACTAGCAATCATGTTTTGAACTACAGCAGTAGGACATTAGTTATCTTCTACAGTTATCTTCTATATTGAAATGGACAAATGTCTTCTTAAATAAAAATCAAATAATAGGTACGTGAAGGAAACAACAGTGATTTTAAGGAAATAACTGGTCTCTCTATCACCAGTAATGGTAGGGCACACTGGAAATACACAGTCATACTTGACAATGATAGAACATTTTTCCAGCAATTTCGTATCTAAAAACTTATTTGAAAGAAGTCATTAACACTCAAAGATCTCTGTTCATCACAGTATCAGTTACTAATAGTGAAAGTGTAAGCCATACAAACGCACAAACAAGGGACTATGTGGTATCTATGAATACTAGGCAGACATTAAAATTATGTCATATCATTAAATATTATTCTTCATCATAGTAAAATAAGCAGGCTTAAGAAGTAGGTATATATTCGGATGGGTCCACTTAAAGTACAAAAGCAATCAAAGCTCTGCAGTTAGAGATTAGGACAGTGGTTACCCATTTGGCAGGATAGGAGACAGCAGGAAGGAAACTTATGAGGTGGTGTTTTTTTTCTCTAAAGATGAGTGTTTTCTCTAAAGATGAGTGCTGCCTAGTTTGGAGACAATCAGTTCACAAAAATACATCAAGCTGAACAGTTATGAACATGAAAAAAAATGTGTGTTATACACCAATAACATGTTAAAAATATACTGATGTTTTCCTAAATAGGTATCATATGAACAATGTTTTCAAAGATAGTCTGGAAGAACATACAATTTTATTCTTGATTCATTCAAATTACCAACATCTCCTGTGTTCACTGTGCTAGACTGCATGCCTACAACAAACAAGATCCTCTTAAGGTCAGGAATAATTTAACAATCCCAACCAAGTTCCAAAGGTAATGAACATTTCTTTTAATATGTAATGTATCTTGGGAGTCTAGCAACCTGCTAGCACTGAGAGAAGACACCCAAAAGTACACTGAAGCTAAGGTGATTGTTTAAAATAAGCTTAATGAGTCCTAAAAACTCAGATAAAATTCCACTCTCATAAGCATGCTTCTGACTGACATTTGAGAAAAGAATACAGGTCTATCAAAGGTCTTGAAAAGGACAGTGACCAGTACAACACAATGTGTACCCTACCCACTTCAGACATACCTCCCAAAACACAACAGCACAGCCACCACCCTACCACTTCTCTGTAAAATTCATGGAGTGTTTACTGCGAAATAGGCATTATTCTGGGTGTTTTATTAATTGAATCTTCATAATAACCTTATAAAAATCACTGTTTAATAAGCAAGCAAACTAAAGCACTGAGATACAATTAGCACACTGGGGTAATTTCAGAAGAACCAGCCCCAGGCAGCATTGCAAAACAAGTTCAGTTTGTTTCTGACCTACAAGTCCCACACCTGTCTCCTATCAACAGACCTGAAAGCAGGGACAAGATACAACACCCAGCACGCCAAGTATTTCAGTGCAAACCCCCTTTCCTTTCCTTTGATTTCTTTCCAAATAATCTATAAAGAAAAGCCTTTTTTTTTTTTTTTTGGAGGTGGGGGGAGTATCACATTTTAAATAAATAACTCCTGCTAAGGCATTCCCAAACCCACTATGCTATGATTAAGATAGCCTCTAAGTTCCCTAAGGCAATGGTCATCCTATTTTCCTCTCCAGTCCCTGCAGAAGGGCTGGATTCCACAGGAGAAAGGTCCTCCACACCAGTTGTTCTCCCAAACTGGTTTCAGCTGGCTAAAGCTAACTACCAGATTAGAAACGCTGCCGATGCTGGTAATCAAGTGACTCACTCAACTCCTTGCTCAACTGTCACCTCTACAAAGTGGCCTTTCCTGACCAATCTGTTTAAAATACCAGCCCTTCACACTTTATCCTCTTCTACTGCTTTATTTTTACTTACCATGCCATGACTATCCCTGTGACATTTATAATTACTTCCTGATGTTGTCTTCCCTTCTACATGACACACTGCACCAGGGCTGGTGCATTACAGTGCATCGCGGCTGTAACTCCACACCTACATCAGAAGCTTGCCAGAGAAAGGCTCTCAAATGTCTGCTGTACTCAGTGCCAGCCATAGGGCAATTTTTTCTTTTTTCTAACATTCAGGGAAGGAGTCTCTTAAAAAGAAAATACTGCCTTGACTTAAAAGGTAATGATGTTGGAGACAGAAAGAAGAACTACATTTTAAAAACTATTAATCTGGGAAGAATACTTAGCAAAATCTTGGGTTTCCTCTTTCTGCTTAGACTCAAAATGTTTTAGTTTAAATATGAAAGCACAATGGGAAAAGAAACCATGGGAAAGTTTACAATCAAAATGCTTCTACTATTTTTAGTTTTGAAAGTGCCACAAGACAAAAAAGAAAATGAGGAGTCTGTCAGATTTTATTTAGACTGAAATACTCCAAGTACTATCTGACCAGATGCTCAGTACCCATTCAAAGTCAAAGTTAACTTTGATAAGGAGTATGTATCTTCTCACCCATATATTACCCAATTACCCAGTCCTTTTCTACTGCTTACCTGTTTTTTTTTTTTTTTTTTTTTTTTTTACTCCAGCCTGGTCTAACTGGAATATTAGTGGAACAGGAAAAACTTGTTTTAAACTAAGAAATTGCCTGGAAGGTCAACAAACATTGAAGCTTGAAGGCAGGCTCTTTGTTTTACTGAAACCCAAAAGACTGTTAAAGTCATAAATATTCTAAAATGTTCTGCTAGTAGATTTCAGGACTCATACAAAGAAGTCAACCTATAAGACACAATCCCAGTAGATGTTATTGATGTCAGCAGATGTTATATACTGTTTGGTGAACTGTTAACAAAAGCATAAGAAAGAAAATTTTAAGCCTGGAGCACTGGCACATGCCTGTAATCCCAGCACTCCGGAGGCTAAAGCAGAATCCTGTGAAGTTCTGGTCTCCAAACAAAGTGAGCCGAAGGTTAGCCTGAATTGCATACCGAGAACCAAAGATAAAGAGATAGAGAAAGTTTTAACCATTTAACAAGGTAAATGGACTGTAATACTATATTTTCACGAAATCACTTAAATAATGTTTAATTCTATTTAGGTTACACAAGCAACCTTTACAAAGAGCCAGTAGTTTGTCTAATAAAATGTTACTAAAATAACTCCGAAATAAGTGCATATAAGAGAGAGTTTTGAGGAATGATAAATACTTTGCAAGTAAAGGCTATCTAAAAAACTGCAAATATCCGACTCCAGTTTTAAAATTTTTGGATTAAGAAAACGGCTGTTTCAGGGAGATGTTAAGAAAAAAAAATCCCGAGTATTAACCTCATTTTTAAGAAAACAACAGCTTTTTAGGTCTCTTCAAATATCCTCGGGCAAGCCATTAAAAAAGACAAGAAAAAATGGGACCCGAACAGGCTGGCAGAACCCATTAACAAAGCCCACTGGGAATCCACGGTGGACAGAGTAGTCTATTAGGCTAGGACGCGAAAGAACAAAGATTCCATTCCCACGAGGGATTTTGTTTTAGAGCAAATGGGCACCAGGGTTAAAGAATCTGGTATTTCCACAGCTACTTCATTAACAGGCTACGTGATCCAAACTCCCAGGAACTCCACTCACAGCTGTGCCCTATTTCACGTCCAGATTTGTTTACCACGCTTACATCACAACCAAAGAACAAAAATACAGGGTACGCTTTCAGTAAAGTTATTCATACGGGCAAACTCAGCACCTTTCTTGTACAAGCTCCAACGTTACTGCAGGAACCGAGACTTCAAGATCCACAACTTGGAGCAGAGGCCCGCACAGCTCTGCAGTTGCAGGACGGTCCCGGGGGACAGACGCGCCCTAGAGCTTGCCAGACCTGGGATGACAAGAGCCGTTTGTTCCGTAGCGGGACTGCCGTGCCGGCCCGGTCCCTTCCAGCGATCCCGCAGCGCTCTGCAGATCGGGACCCGCAGCGCTCTGCAGATCGGGACCCGCCTCCCGCCCCACCCCAGCCCGGACCTCACCTGCCGGGCCGGCTCCAGAGGCACTGGCGGGCGGCGGGGAGCGCAGCCGCAGCCAGAGGTGCAGCGCCGCCCCAAGCACGCACGGGCACAGCAGGACCAGCCAGTTTCGCATTGGCCGCCCCGCCGGCTCCACCTCGCTCCCCCGCCGCGCGCCGGGCTCGCCCGCGTCCCGGCCGAGAGCGATGCGGCCGGCTAGATCCGAGCCCGACGGGCGGCGCCGATGCCCGCGCGACCACTCCGGCGCACGGATCCCTGAGCCCAGCGCCGCCTGGTCCGCTAGGCTCCAGCCCGCCTTCGACTCCCTCAGACCGCCGTCGGCAGCGACTCCGCGGTCGAGGCCCCGCCTCCCGCGTGCAGTCGGCCCACCACTCCGCCCACCTTTTTCTTCTCTCGCTCCGCCCCGCAGCTCGTGTTCTTACCTGCGCCCGCCGACCGGCGGGAGCTGGAGTCCCGCACAGGGCCCAAGCAGGGGGCGCGCCCGGGAACCCAAGTCACAGAAACCACAACTCCCAGAGGCCCATGCGCGCTCCGTCGCGTGGTGAAGGCGGAGCGAAAGGCGCATATGGAGCATGCGTACTACTCGCCTGCCACTGCCCCCGGCGGCCGAGACCAGCGTTGCGTACACCAAGCTCACGCCCCCATACACCACTGTCTCCGGAGGCCAAAACCGGACCTTTGCGCAAGGTGCAAGCGTACCCCTCCTCTCCGCGCCCCACTGTACGGTGGCGGCAGAGGCAAGCATTGCGACGCGATCTTCCTGTGGAGGGAGAGTGGCGCTGAGGCCAGCTGATGGAGACCTGAGGGTCTCCCGTTCAAAGCCACGCAGTGCTTGTGCATATCGCACACCGCATTCTCGCCCACTCCGGCTCTGAGCTCCCGCCGATGTCGGCTCCGCGCGTGGTAACTCTGGTGCGGGCCTTGGACGCGAGATGTGCCGAGTCTGCGCCGTGTTCGGTTCTCCAGAAACGCGAAAGACTGGCCGCATAGGGAGCGACTGCATAGTAGGGTCCGCTGGCTCGGATCGCCACGCAGTAGCGAATCCGGGGGCAAGGGTGGGAATGACAGGGTTACAGAAAAGTTCCACAAGTTTTGGGAAAAGAAGGTGCTGTGACCCTGTGTGGTGGATGTGTGGGTTCCCAGAGCATCCACCTCCAACTCTGGAGTGTCATTGACAGTCCACCAGCGCCCAGATTTCTGGGGTACTATAGTGTAAATAAAACAACTCTTTGTTCGTGTTACTTTTTGAGTGTTTTGTAATAATGTTAGCTATACTGTTTTTACTTTTAAAATACATTTGGTTTAGTCATTGTACATAAACATAAGGCATTTAAACTGTAAGGTAATTTAACGCCCATGAGGCCAGAAATACTTTTTTTAAAGATGAACCCGTTATGTATGCTACTTGTTGCAAATCCAAACTCTTGAAACAACAATCTTGTTTTTTGTTTATATCTCTTTCTTTCTGTAGGTTATGAATTTTGGGGAACTAAGTTTTGTTTTAAAGTCATTAAAAAAAGTTTCAGGCATATGGCGGCTAGAGCTGCAGACATCTGAAGATTCGACTGGCTGGAGAACTCATGTCCTAGCTGGCTGGCTTACAGGCAGCAGCATGCTGTCACTTCTGTGTTGGCCTGTCACACAAAGCAGCCCTTCTTCACTGGGGAATAAATACAAGGATCAATAGGAGCTTTTTTTTTTTTTTTTTTTTTTTTTTTTTGTCTTTCCGAGGCCAGGTCTCACTATGTAGTTCAGTAGCCTTGAGCTCCCTATGTAGCCCAGGCTGGTCTCAAACTTGCCAGGATCCTCCTGCTTCAGTCTCTCCCGTGTGCTGGTATTATAGGCTTGCACCACCAGACTGGCTAATAGCTATCTTAAAGGCTCATATAAGAGAAGACATTACTGTTTTTCCGCAGTTTGGAGTCTAGAGGGACCTTCCATACTCTCCAAGAATCCTGAAGACAGGAAAGAATACTCTTTTTTATAGGAAACATGAAATTAAAAGATTGTGGCCCTTGGGCAAATGTTACCATGATCTGTATGCCTCTTTCCCAGGCATTGTATAATACATTGCCATAAGGCAAGAGAGTATGCAATGTGTACAGATTCCTTGTTCAAATTTTCTGTTTGGAAACTACACTGATTTGCTTTTTTTTTTTTTTTTTTGGCTTTTTCGTTTTTTTACCGGTACCAGGGATTGAACTCACGACTGCCTGCTTTCGAGGCAGGCGCTTATGCCACTAAGCTAAATCCCCAGCCCTGCTGATTTGCTTTCTACATCCAAAGAAACTGTCAGAAGAGTGATAATGGGTTGTCACAGAATATACTATTTTTATCCTAAAGAAAGGTAATAATGGCCTTTGGATATCCAGACATTTTCATTTTGTGAATAGATATCAAAATAAAAAATAGATAAAATGAGCTGAACATGGTGGCAGATGCCTGCAATCCCAGGTACTTGGGAGTCCGAGGCAGGAGCATTGCAAATTTAACACCAGCATGGGCAACTTAGCAAGACACTGTCACAAAAACAGTATTTTAAGGCATTGAAGATGAAGCTCAGTGGTAGAGCACTTGTCTAGCATGCATGATGCCTTGGTCTGGACACCAGCACTTCAAAAGAAAAAAATGAGTTAGCCAAAAAAGAGATCATACCTAATTTTGTCAGATCTATTCATTAACATATTTAACTGAGCATCTTTATGTGCCACAGGGAGCTCTGTGGTACTTTATATTCATGAATGAATAAAACAAAGCCCTGACCTATTTGGATGGAGATGAGGTGAAGACTATAAGGAAATACATTTGACTAGCATGTTAGAAAGTAAGTGTTCCTAAAAACGAAGGTAGAGCAGGGTAAGGGAATTGCGAGTGTGGGACTGACACAGGGGAAAACTCAGTTTTAAATAATATTTAAGCAAACTTTCAAGGTTATAATGAATACTAAAGACAGAAATAAATAAAACCATGCTGCCAGGCATGATGACACATGCTTGTAATCCCAGCATTTGGGAGGCTGAGGCAGGAGGATCACTGTGAGTTTGAGGCCAGCCTGGGCTGCAAAGTGAGTTCAAGGCCAGCCTGAACTGCATAACAAAACCCTGTCTCAAAAGGACAGATTTAAAAAGCCATTGTATTAACTAGTCATTCTGACAGGCCTATAACCAAAATATTTTTTTAGTAACTTTTTTTAAGCATCCTTCAAATACACCACACTGAGAGCGGCCTTTTCCTCATAACTTTCCTCTTGCTGGGACAAAATACGTAACACCCACCAGTTAAGAAGGGGCTTATTTTAGCTTACAGTTTGTAGAAGTTCAGTCCACACATGGCTGGCTTCAGGGCGTGGCAGAGTGGCATGGCAAAGGAGAAACAATTCACGACGTGCCAGGTAAGAAACATCGAGACTTCTTTCTTCTCTTTTTATTCCACCCATCTATAAGACTATTTTCAGTAAATCCATCATCTGTACTCAACTGTGCTAACCACTTGGTGGATTAATCAGTATCAGACACCCATTACCAAGTGTTACATCAATGGTCCAGTCACTTCCAAAGCCCCATGAGTGCAGGAGGGTGCGGGAGGATGTCTAGAGATAAGCTGTAACAAACCTAACATGATGGGACCAGAAACATTTCTACTTATCTGATGTCTGGTGTTCACTGGTAAACTCAAGACTAAGGTGAGTAAAGACTGTAGGAGACAATATGTATAATAAAACCTTAAAAACCTAGCAATCATATAAAGTCTGTGCAGTCAAGGTGGCCATAGTCACCTTGTTTAAGAGAGGAACAACAAAATCAGAATTAGGGAGAGGCAAAGTAGGATGGTTGGTCATCCTGACAGACAAATGGGATCAGAGAAAAGAATGCAATAAGGTGTTTTGGCAGCGTAAGACTTCCCAGAGGAGGCCTTCCAGAGGAAACACAGGGCTGGGGCTTGGGACCGAAGGATCAGTTTAAAAAAGAACAAAGGACACTCAAGATCACCCTAGGCCAAAAAAAAACCCCCCTGGCAAAACCTGAGGTAGTGATAACATGGCTGTTATGGAAATAAAGGCAATTTGGTATAACCTCAGTGCAAATGAGAACAGGGGTGTGAGGTGACTAGAAAGCAGAGGCTAGTGCATATGCTGGGCTAAGAAATTTAGACTTTATCTTGAAGCATCAGGGAAGAATCTTTTTTTCTGATACAAAATCAATCTATGATTATGAGAGAATTTGAAAGTATAAACCAGTGGTGGTGAACCTATGGCACATGTGCTGCAGTGGGCTGTTTGTATCACTGAAAGCTCTAAAAGGTGCACTGATAAAAACTGTAAGAAAAAATTAAATCATGCCAAATACAAATCACACATTTTCTTTAAAAACCATCTTGTAAATAAAAATTTATACCCATTTATTTTCACTATCCTATAAGCATTTTCACATTTAAGTAGTAGCTTTAGAAAATACAATTTTGAATCAGTCATTCATCTGCACTACGTCTTCTCTGGTATCCTATTATTGAGTGTATAGGTTGTTTCCATTGTTCCACTTGAATAATATTGGTAGTTGTGTTCATTTAACTTTATCCACATTTCATATACTGTTAGTTAGCTTTCCCATCATTGAGATAATATGGACACCCACAATTTAAACAAATGGCTCACAGTTTTGGGGGGTTCAGTGCATGGTTGGCTGGTCCAAGCCAGGAACAGCATAGCAGAAGAATATGATGGGGGAAAGGTGCTTAGTTTATGGGTGCTGGGAAGCAGACGATGGGTACGATGCCAGAGCAAAGTAGGTAGGTATCAGAGATAGACTCCAAGGACATCCCTTTATCCCTAATTGTACTCCACCAAGGCCCAGGCAGCTCCTAAGCCAGACTGACAGTCTTAACTGTCACATGTTCCTTTTATGTATTATTTTAAAGGTCTGTGTTCGTACTGTCAGCATGTATGTTGACCTTTAATATGTATCTCTTGTCTTCCTTGGTCAAGCAACACCACCTTTTTCAGGAGCTGCAGGTGTAGCTTAGAGTTACAGTGCCAGAATTCATGAGGCCCTGGTTTGACCTCCAACACTGCTACTCAAAGAGCAATGCATTTTTTCATTAATCAGATCAATGATTTTTATGGCTGTTGTTTCTATCTTTTTGTGAATTATCTTTGTAGTTTTTTTATCCATTTGGGTGAGCATTTTATAGATTAAAGATATTAATCCTTTATGTATTATATCTGTAGAAAATATTTTCTTCAGTTTTCTTGTGTTTTAATTTTATGACTTTTAGTATAAAACCATTTACAATTTTTATGAATACAAATTGTCCATTTTTTCCATAATTTTGGACCATGACATCTGATCAACAT